GCGAGTGTAAGGGTGGACCAGACTAAAGCACATTTCTACACCCTCATCTTAGTGCGAAGGGATTCTACCAGCAGGTACTTAAATCAGTTTCTAAACCAGTGCCAAGATCCCCCATGCATCTCAGTGTGTTTACTCAGTGCTTTACTTCTGAGAGATTCAGAGTAACTCTCTACTGTACAGCTTGTGAGGTTTTATTCGTTTCATAAAGAAGAACAAAGTTAGGATGTTTAAAAGTGTATGAGGCGGCAGTTGAATAATCTTTTTTAATGTGGTTACTCACAAGGAGCCATACACAAACCTCAACCAAAAAGCCACTCTATAGCCACAAATAATGTTCAGAACAGCACCTAACTTCATCAACAGGACATATTGGGTCCCAGCCATAGTACTAGCCACCAAACATCTCTTTAACTTTGGCTTATTTCTTTGGCAAAGAGACTAAACACAACTCACCCTCTCTATTCCAGCAGCCGCTTGCTTTTAGTGAGACCTCGAGCCAGTCCATTACGGCCTACAATGGGGTGACGCAGCTCAAGGAAGAACATTTATGATCTTTACTTTATCATTTCCTTCAAGTAATAATCATCATATTAATCATTTTTCACTGCAGACGTGGTAGTTCTTCTGCCTTAGTGTCTCGTTCTGATTCCATTTCCATGAAGAAATTATCATTAATGTTCTTCCTTGAGCTGCGTCACCCCATTGTAGGCCGTAATGGACTGGCTCGAGGTCTGGCTACAAACAAGCGGCTGCTGGAAGAGGGTAGGTGAGTTGTGTTTAGTCTCTTTGCTAATGAAACGCTATATATACTGTTGATGAAGTTAGGTGCTGTTCTGAGCATTATTTGTGGCTATAAAGTGGCGTTTTGGTTGAGGTTTGTTTATGGCTCCTCAGACCGCTGTTTATTGCTATCCTGCGATCGTTACTAAAGTTGGTTTAACTATCGAAGCAACAACCGAAGTCGGCAACATTTATCATTCAAGGGGGTGTCTAACTCTGTGTTATGGTGTGTTTGAGCCTAACTTAATTTTACACCGAAATATCTCTTTTAACAGCATGACTCACAAATTCTCTTCTGACTACTCAATTTTTTTTATTATGCCGAATGAGAGCTTGGCTGTTTTTTGTTTTGTGGTCTGGTTGTGGGAACCAGTTCAGCAGAAATAGACCCCTATAGCTGAAACTGATTCAGTGGTCCCCTTTGAATTATATTAGAGGAAGGGGAAAGTAAATCCCAACATATGCTTGCGTCTGAAAAGGCGGCATTAGATGAGGAAATCACATAATGACTGTTTCAATTTTCCGTCCTTTTGTCTCTTTCACATTTTTTCCCTCTCAATTTCACTCTCTCTGTCTTTCTCTCTCTGTTGGCTCTTCACCCGTCCTTTCTCTACCACCCTGAGTCTTTCCCCTCTCTCTCTCTGTCTGCATCCTCTCCCTGTCTTTCCCCCTCCTTTCCACCACCCTATAGGGATAGAGACTCAGTAGAATTACCATCCTCTTGATCTATAATTACCACACAACTCTCTCTACCCCTGGCTCTCTTTCTCCTTGCTTGCTTGCCAGCCAATCTCAGAGTGTACACAAGATACTCACTGAACAATTTTAATGTGACTGATGAACATTCTTGTCCCATCAGTGCAAAGAAATGTATTTTTTTTGTTGTTGACATTTTTAAGAGGATGTTGATCAAATCCTCTTTGACAATTTGAACCATAGCATGACCCAACTACTGGCTGAGGCAAGAAGTGAGGAATGGAGTACAAGCCTTTTTACCTTGACAATAGCTGGAATAGCAATAATATGCCATATCATTCCATACTTTTACAATAAAAAAGAGCAAATAGATTGCTGATCAATGCAAAAAAAAAATGTTCTGTCTTAAGAATGAAGTCCCATCTACATCTACAATAGGAATAGATTACTTTGTTATCACAGTAGCTCAGAAAAGACAAAAGAAACAATATTAAGAAAGTAAGATGAAGAGATTTGTCTTGTTCCCCATGCATTGCAGTTCCCCCCACAAAGGAATGACTTCAAGACTTTACGAATGATACCACTGGATCCTTCGATCTGCTGCTTTTAGGTGAACACAGTAAATACTGCCCTTGTTGCCCACAATTCAAAAGTTTTCATAGTTCACATATGCTGTGTTGTGGTAACTTCCACAATACAATTAAGAAAAACAGGAGATATGACCATGAGAGACGAGCTTTTTGCAGCTGTAAAGTTGTCAGTCACTTGGGATGGAGCTCGAGCTATTTCATAATTGTGGCATCCAGACAGAGCTGTAGAAATCCTCAGTTGCAGGATTTTTCAAGGATTCAAGGAATCTTTATGGTCCCCATGGGGCAAATCGCTTTACAGCCAGCAGTGCCACAAACAGACATAAGACAAGACAACTCGCACAAGAATAAATAAATAAAAAATGATAAAACAGAGAGACTAAAAACAATCACTTGTTTAACAGACCTATGGCGGCAGGAATAAGAGAGTTCTTCAGTCTGTTTTGGCATTGATCAGGACCAAACACATGAATAATTTTTGAATTTTGGAGTCTGAAAAAGGACAATAACTAGTTATATCATCATGAAGGTGTAAATATGCCGAATTTTTGCAGGAGGTAGAGCGGTCATCCAATAACTGGAGGGTTGGTGGTTCGATTCCCTCTATACCTAGTCTGTCTGTTGTGTCATTGGGCAAGACACTTAACCCACCTTGCTTGCAGTGTGTGTCCTCCACTGGTGTATGAATGTAAGGGATGTGTGGTGGTGGTCAGAGAGGCCGTGCATTATTATCATTGTTAATATTACATTGTGTCTATTGCAGTCAACAAGTTTGATGAGGAGAAAGAATGAGTAGGACCTTTGGATCTGCTGCGCTGATTTTGACAATGAAGGGTAATGCAAAGTTAAATGAAATACACCCACGGGGCTGTGAAGGGGCATTAACCATTTTTGTGAGGAACGACCCGCGTTTTGAATCCCCCCTTCTAACCATAAATGATGCTCCTGATCGTAACATTGACCGTAGCTCAGTGTGGATCATAGTAAAATGGGTTGTCTGTCAATTGAGAGGTCAGGCTGTTCGATCCCCAACTGCTGTGCCAGTTATGTGTGAATGGGATTAGTTTTTATTGATGAGCATTTTTTGTAGCATACTCTGCCATGTGTGTATGAATTTGGTGTGAAAGGTTGAATGTGACATGTATTAGATAAACACTTTGATTGGTCAGAATATTAGGTAAAGTGCTGAACAATAATGTGTAAGGACCTTGTCATGTCAGGTCAAGACTCGGGTCACTCTGTCGTCAGCTTATTTTAGGGGACAGGAAAACTGAAATCTGTCTCTATCATTTGGGGTAAAGAGCAGGTGCAGATCACACACTACTTTATTGATCAGATGCCAACCATAGACTGTATATAGAATTGACGCCGTCTGCCTGCTCACTGGGTGAAGCCACATCGGGAACAACACCCTCTGGTGACGGGGCTGCAGTATAGGTCACAAATCCCAAATCCTCCAGCAAACCCTTTGGAGCTGCGGATAAACTTTGAAAATTAATCACACAGATTATATTTTTTTCTCCCCCTTGGTTGTGATGTTGACATGTAGTTACTGTAAGACTGGTTTGTGCTCAAGTCCTCTTCTTTCTGTGCAGCTCCATTTTTAGAAGTTATCAGGCGGTTCTTGTTTTCTATGATTGACACCTGACACAGCCTATGGTTACGTTGCTCACCCAGGGATACGTTGTTTGAGCTGAGCGTCATCACAGCCACTCCCCTAGCCGAATGCGTACAATGCTACTGTGCAAGTGGTGGTTCCAGGAAGTGGAGAAAATCTCATAAATCCTGAGAGCAATTCGGCTTCAAATTCGTATTGGCATAAGGCGGTGCCAAGTTGTCCACAGTATATACAGTCTATGATGCCAATTATATATTTTATGGTGTAAGTGGTGCATAAATGATCAGCCTGCACAGGTAAAGTAAACTTGTATGTGTATTTTAAATTTTTGTTTATGTGTTTGTTGAGGTTTTTATACTTTTGTTGTTTTTTACAATACTAAAGTGTAAGTGTGGCTTACAATTTATCCAACAGAAATAATGATTACATGGACATAAGCTATCGAATCCAGTTGTATCATCAGGGTGATCAATTTCACCATTCTTCTATTCTCATTATTGACACTTTTTGAACATTTTCTGTCTTTTTGAGGATCAGCCAATCATGGCTTTTGAAATAATGTGTCATACAAAGCAGGGGGTCAGCTATGCCTCCTCACTGAGATCAAAGTTTCCGCCCTCTCCTTGCTAAGAGTTGCTCTAAGATCATTTCTAAATCCCTCTTTCCTTTTGCTACAAGTTTCTAAGTTAAATTAGGAGTTCTATGAGAGGTTCTGTAAGTTTAGTGATATATATAGAAAGAGAGAGAAAGAGAGAGCTTCTGTTAGTGTTAGTTTGTCTTTGAGGTGTGGCGAACCAAGCACCAAAGGTCACATACGTATATTGCCTCTTTATCTTTAGAATATTTATTTATCATCTATTCGTTTCAATATGACAAAGTCTGAATAAGATAAGACTTTATTCATCCACTTCCTCCAAACTGCCCACGACAGCTGGAACAGGCTAATCATCTATTTTTATTATGAACCCGATAAAGCAGTATCAGGAAATGTACATAACACTTGTGCTTTTCATCCAGGGCAGATTTTGGATCCTTTCCTGTGTTGATTTTTCTTTGCCTCTTAGTAAAATAAATCAGTCAGTCAATTTTTTTAAGTATGATGAAATTAATAAGGCAGAGGATGAGGCAGTGAGGGTAAACAGTTTGTAACCTACACTTCTATTCTCCTTAGCATCTATTATTCATTGACCAAGATGATTCTTTCATGAGGCAAGCTAGTTGCACATAATTCATAACGCAGGCTGTGGAAACTAGGACAGAGTGAGATACAGGCAGAGAGGGGGGAAGGGGAAGGGGAAGAGAAGGAAGGATGAGAAGGCTGAGTGAGAAAGAGGGTGACGAAAAGGATGAAGACAGAGAGGGTGTCAGGATGAGGAGGTGAGAGGAAAAAAAGGAGAGAGGAAACAGGATTTGGGTTTGGAGAAATGCAATTGAATGATCGAGAGCATGCTGCAAAGTGTTTTGAAAAATTGGAGATTAAAGGCATGAAAAGCAGAGCGAAATATAGGCGAGGAAAAGAGAGAAATGGGGAAAGAGAACAAGAGCTGGAGACAGGGTATAGGATCTGTGTCGAGTCAATGTGATAGACATCTCCATCAAGCAGTGGGAGCTTGAGTCTAAATTAAAAAGAGTTCTTCACTGGTTTTTCGATTCACAAAAGCAAGAGGAGGAAACATTTGTTTAAGCCGAACAGGCAGACAAAAAGAGTATGCCTTTCTCCTAAAATCCATAGTAACGCTTTCTTTTACGGTACACTTATTACCAGGTAATTAACAGGTAATTACCAAGTAACAACATGAAATTATCTGCTAATTAAATTATAACTACTAAGTCAATACTGTCTAGCTACCAGGTAGGTAACCTTCCAGCATCATACAAACTTAATTGTTCTGGTATTTCCAGGATTTTCTCCGCTTCCTGGAACCACCACTTGCGCAGTAGCATTGTACGCATTTGGCGGTTGAGTCGCTGTGATAATGCTCGGCTCAAACAGCGTATCACTACGCAATCTTCGCACGCCCATAGGCTGTATCAATTGTTAATCATAGAAAATAAGAACCCCAAAGAGCTTTTGAAAATGGAGCTGCACAGAAAAAAAGAAAAAAAAAGAAAAACTAGACAGTATTGACTTAGTAGTTATCATGTAATTACCAGATAATTTCATGCTGTTACTAGGTAATTACCTGTTAATTACCTGGTAATAAGTGTACTGTAAAAGAAAGGGTAACCAAATCCATGGCTTAACCAAGGAGACCCACCTGAAAAGATATCAAAATGAGATATCTATAAGCATTTTATTTTGGAAGGGACAAATTACATGGTACCTTTTGTCTTTCAGTTATTACAAAGTTTTGCAGTTTTTGTTTAAAAATGTATATCAGGTGCACATTACTTAGTCAAATATGGCTAAATTAGCTAAAAGCTGAAAGAAGAAAGAGGAAGAGATCTAAGGACTCAAAAGTTTGGATCACTCTGGTCTTTTGCTGAGAAGAGCAAAAAGATCAAGACTGAAACAGTCTACAACCGTGTGCACGTGTGAGTTGGGGGGGGGGGCAGATTGATGAAAAGAGAGGTAGAGAAAGAGAGAGAGAGATCACAGAGAGAGTGTGTACTCGCTCCCTGCTATATAGCTCTGGGCCATGTACACAGCAGAAAGTCACGACCCCAAAGTACAGTACATGGTCTGAATTTTAATGACTTTTTGACTGAGATAGAGCTTTTGTGAGCATGCATGTGTGTACCTAAGTCTGTGCTTGGCCCTCAGGTAAAGTGTGTGAAAGTGTGTGTGTGTAGGTCTTTCTGGCTGTCTCTCTGTCTGTGTAGAGGTGGGGGTCGAGGGGGTGGGTGTTTGCGTATGGGGAACTGTACTCCTCTGGGAGCTGAACCTGGAAAGATAGGATGCTGAATTGCAACTATGACACACTACCTTGATATATACACACACACACACACACATGCACAGACCGTCATGCACAGACCATCAGGAGCCTGCAGGAGTAGGACAGGACAAGGTGACTACATGTTGAGTGGAACAAAGCTTCGCATCTTTGAACTTGCTCTGATAAATATAGCTATGGTAGACGACAAAATCATCATAAAAGAAGATTTCATAGACAGACTTTTTATGTTTCAAACCTGACAGCCATCCTCAAGGAGAGCTCAGAGGTTAAAAAAGAAACACTAGAGCTCTGAAGCTGTTGCACAATTTAGCTGTAAAAAAAAAGCTGTATTTAAATCAGCGCTACGATAATCGGCAAACAAACCAAGAAAAAGTGATTGAACTAAAAAATATGTAAGTCAAACATTTATTTTAGGTATTTAAAGTCTAATGTTGAAAGCATAGACTGGACATAGAATGGACGCCGTCTGTCTCCTCGCTGGGTGAAGCCACCCTGAGAACAGCACCCTCTGGTGACGGGCTGCAGTATAGGTCATAAATCCCACCTCCACCAAAATCCCTATGGAGCTGTGGACAAAGAATACATATTTTTCTCCCCCTTGGTTGTGATGTTGACATGTAGTTACTGTAAGACTGGTTTGTGCTCAAGTCCTCTTTTTTCTGTGCAGCTCCGTTTTTAAAAGTTATTTGGGGTTTCATGTTTTTATATGATTGACACTTGATACAGCCTATGGGCGTACGAAGATTGCGTAGCTCTCCCGGGGGGATACGCTGTTTGAGCTGAGTGTCATCACAGCGACTCCCCCGCCGAATGCGTACAATGCTACTGTGCAAGTGGTGGAGTGCGTACAACGCTACTGCGTAATGTTTGTTTTATAGGAAAAAAAGGGAAATACTGAGAGCTTTTTGGCTTCAAATCCATATCCTGGCGGAACCAAGTTGTCCATACAGTCTACGGTTGATACTCTGTCTCACAGTGTAGTGCACATCAGACAGCAACAATGTGAACTTTAAAGTAAATTAGACTGCTATTACAGGCTCCAGCTCTCCTTATCCTCATCTAAGTACCAATACTTAAGTTTACAAGTGTAAGTCTCCTCATGAGATGACTTTTTGTTTTTCTACTTGTGTCCAAAAGCAATCAAAAGGGTTTTACAGAACATTATACAAATGCATAGTCATTATATCCTGGTTTAGTTTCAGATGACACATTATGTCCTTTTCTTTGTGTTTTCATTTTAGCTTGGTAAGAGAGATTATGTTATTATTATCCTATGAGTATACGTCTGTGGTTTTAAAAAGCTTCCTCATTGATTTCTGCTCTTTTTCCTTTATCCATCACCCATTCATTTTACTTATCTAAATGTGTATGTGTCTGTTATTATGTGCTGTCTGTACTGGCCTGTTTTTGCCCAGTGTACGTGTTCTATATGTCAAAGCTGCAATAATGTGCTGCAGTGATTTAAAGATGCTGTTATGGTCGACATTTGAACATTTTATGTCTCTGCAACAGTTTATAATAATGTGATTTTTAGCACACAGACGCAGTGAGAAGAAGACCATGCAGTCTCTCATTTTACAGTCTAAGTGACATGTAATAGGAGTTTAAAGAGAGCAGTTCTCCGACTGCCTGATGGCTGCTCTGAATGCTAATCCCTTTAAACTGAATCATTATGATCAATAATCCTTTCAGGGAACTGAATAACCCTTGATGCATACAATATAGGTATAAAAATGTATATTTTGAATTTTAATCTGTTCAACTCCGTGTGACTCATACATCTAACACAAGCAGCTTTTTACAACCAGATGAGGGAATCTGTCAAAAAGCTCTGGGTGTTTTATCAATAGTACTTATTGTGATAAGTCCATTTAGTTTCTTCTCATCAATAAAAATGTGATGGGCTTTTCTATTGTAACATGCTGGTGTATCGCTCAGTGGCTACAACATCAACAACATCTTCATGCTGATTTCACCTGTTAAAGATCCACTCTGATGGACCACTGCCCAAACTCTCTTCTTTGTTTGTACATATGTTTGACTCATGTATGCTTGCAGGGGAATGGGGTTATCTTGGGTCACCTGATATTAAAAAGGTCATACAAGGTCACAGAGGGCATTGAAGTTCAACTTAAACCTTCACTTTTTGCCATTTTAGAGGTGCTGTTTCTTGCACTGTTTTCTAAAAAACCTCAGAAATGCACTTAACTGAAATTTAAGAGGACCCCTCAGCTTTTAATCAATAGCTGGAGACACTGTCAGTGTGGGGATCAATGATGACACATTTTTGGTGTGCCTTTCTAAGTCCACCCTTAGGTATTTGATGGTGCAGAAAGGGCATATAATAGAATTTTTTTTACTGTTTAAGGAACACACAATGGTGGTATACATCTCAAATAGTATTAAAAAGAAACGACAGAGAAATTCTTATCAATATATGAGCTGAAAAACACTGTGGCAGCCCTCTGAAGCCTGATAGGAAAAGGAAGAAATGGCTTACACTGATACAACCTGTTATAGTCCCACTTATTTTTTAAGGCATAAAAAAAATCATACCAGGTTGGAAATATGGAGAAAGAAAACCAAGCAGATAATGCACCTGGAAATAACTCCAGTTATTTTTTCTCTCTCTCTTTTCTCCCCTGTGAAGAAGTAGGTTGACTCCCTCTCAGAGAAAACTGCATGCAGTATATCAAATGATGACTCAGTCATCAGAAATATCTCACTGTCTTTCAGTGTTCAGGGAAGCATGAGCACAAACAGTAAGTGTGTGTTACTGAGCATGAAGTTGTATATTGCACCAAAACACCAAAAGCAATCAAACATTTCCTGTATTAGCATGGGGTCTGCCAGGTGCCCTTGGGTGTTCTTGTGTATATGCAGTTGTGTGTGTGTGTGCTTTTTGTTTATATTTGGGTCAACCCACATCACACTTCCTGTGTGCTAGAATTCACAGTCTGGCACTTCTGCATGCATGTGTGTGGTAGTGTGTGTGTGCAAAGGGTTAAAACTATGTCAAACAGTGTGCTTTGTCTCTGTCTATTTCCTTTATGTTCAAGGACATTATTTTCTCTGTTTCCCAGCTCCCTTGTCCCGATCATTAACTCACATTTATAGATAGTGTTTTTTCTTCAATGCTCACTCCTCTCTCTTCCTCTGAACTCCATAACTTTTCTACTTCATCTCCTCCTTTCTCTTCCTCACATCGCTCTCTTTACAGCCCTTTTCTATCATCCTTTACGTTCTCCTGTTTAAATCTGTGTGTGTGTGTTTGTGTGTTCATGTGTGTATGTTGCCTTGTCTCTCTCTTCCTCTGGATTACTGCTGCAGACATTCTGCTGCTATAGACACTCCCTTAATCAGTCTCTCCTCTGTCCATCTCTCTCTTTCTGCACCTCCCTCAATCCCCTCTCTAAACCATGTACAGTCTCAGTCAGCAGATGACTGTCTAACGTGTGTCTGGCTCTGCAGGTTTCTGCCTGTTAAAGGAAGTTCATCCTCTCCACTGTAACTTGTTAAATGCTGCAGTGTTTCATTCATGTGGGTGAAGATGGGATGGGAGTGGGTCTGATCTGATCTGAGATGGGGCTAGATCTTATCATTGGGTCTTAATGCATAGTCTAAACCAGCTTTTTTCTTGATGAGCATTTTGGGTTAACACATGATGTGAATTGGCACTACATAAATAAATATTGATTAATTGACTGATTGAAAAAAAAACATTAAAAGACCTATTTTTTTGTTATTTTAATCTTCCCTACATCAGGTCCTTTTCAGTTTTGCTCCCCTTATGTTCCTCTAGAGCCTATGCTGTGTAGGGGGAGAGGAATAGAAGGGTGGCAATCATCTATTGAGAGTAAATGAAGTGTGATCATTTCATCACAGTTACAGACTGCACACGTGTAATGCAGAGTTCAATTATCCAATAAAAGGTGGGATGTGCTGGGGTTTGAATTAAAAATATCTTGATTATTGTCGTCTTCAAACAGTCTTTAAATAGAGGCTTCAACTCATGTTAACAACCTAAAGGGTGGTAATTAAACATAATTGAGTTAATGTAGGCTCTGCATCAGTCTGTTAAGAAGTCACATGGGTAATAAAAAACAGAACTGAATTTCAGATAAAAATTATAAGCAGGGAGTCAATAAAAAACTACCTGTATGTTTGGCACGTATTATGTCAAAACGAATTTAAATGGCCAACTTCTGTTTCTACATTAAGCTTGTTACTACTGGGTCTTTTCCAGCTGACATGTTATGTATTAAAACGCATTAGTAAAAGACCAACAGTTTGTCATTTTTACAGCTGTGTGCAATTTGTCCTGATTTAACATGTTTTCTTCGTTGTAGAAACAAATCTGTTCTTTTCAACCATCACCTCAGAGTGTGGCATGTGAACACTGGAGTCTGCGCAGAACATATGGGACAGTTTCAGTTCGATTGAGCCATAAACATGAAAGAGAAAATCCATCTTCAGCTGCGTTACCCAGGTATATTAGTGTGATTTGAGAAGATCGGTTAAGTGCGATTTCAGTCTGACTAATGTAAGTCCAGTTTCAGTTTTTTTTAAATTATTATTGGCTCTTTAGTTTCTAATATTTGTTATTTAGACAGAGACTACACATTTATAAAAGACCTTGAAGAATTTGGTGTTACAGCTTTACAGATGTCGACAAAATGACATTTTCTCATCTTGGTATATGAAGGTTTCACAGAGACAGGTGGTTTCAACATTGTTTAGACACAGTGTCTTCTAGTCGACGGGAGAAGCACCGAGCCAGAAGGTCTTTTCATTGTTGTCCTATAAATCTGGATGCCAGCTGTTCCTCCAGCAACACTGCAGTGGTGCCAGCTGTTCCTCTGCTCTCTCTCTGAACCCTGATGCCATGAGATGGTGCTATAAGTCCAACTTTAAAGCAAATATTTGTTTTGCATCAGGAGTTAAAGCTTGAATTAAATATGGAAGAGGCAATGTGTTAGAGCACACAGACAAAATCTAACATGCCACTATTTTAACCTTTGGAATTTAGGATGCAACAACTGTGGACTTGATGAAACACAGTGGACCAACACCAGCAAATGACATGGCACCCCAAACTTCACAATGATCTTCAAACACTTTGGATTCTGGGCCTCTTCGATCTCCCTCCAGACTCTGGGATCTTGACTTCCAAATGAGATGCAACAATTACTTTCATCTGAAAACAGGACTTTGGACCACTGAGCAGCAGTCCTATTCTTTTTCTTCTTAGCCCAGGTGAGACTCTTGTGACTTAGTCTGTGGTCCATTTCCTGAACCTGTCTATGTGTAGTGGTTCTTGATGCTCTGACTGAAGCCTTAGTCTACTTCTGATGAAGCTCCACTTAAATTCTCAAACCTGATGTGTTTGTCAGTCCTCTCAAGACCGTCCTCATATTCCTTCATCACCTTTTCCTCCCACACTTTCCCCTTCCAGTCAACTCTCCATTAATATGCTTCCTTACAGCACAATGCCTTTTCAGCCATGACCTTTTGCAGCTTAATCTATGAATTGTAAACCATAATCTTCAAGATTCAAAAAGTGAAAACTGTGATTTGTGCACAAGAGAAAATCCCCCCACCACCACATACACAATATCAGTTTTGTCATTGTTCTATAGGGAACCATTCATTTTCATGTCAAACATTCAAAGCAAGCAGAATGTTCAAGTTTTGGCAGGGGATAAGTAGATGTGTCATAAAAGTGAAGGGAAACAGGAGTGTGGGAGTAGATACCAGAATGTACAGTATGTTAGTCCTAAATATGTCAGATCTTTAAAAATGAATGCTCTATGTGCATGATTTAGGCTGAGAGAAATACACAGATCTTTCTTTTTACTTTTCCTAAACTAAATGGATTTAAATTTACTTAAACTTTGACTTCTGACTGAAGAGTTTAAGGAGGAAACATGGCATACAGTCAAAACTTCTCCAGATGGAAAAGCAAATGTCAGAATCTTTTTTTTCATTTCCAAATCTTTCATTGGAGCGATATTGAATTTTCTAGTGTTTTGAACAAACCCCAATTACAAGGAAGCGAATGAAAACAGAATACAACTGGCAAATCTTTTCCCACCTGTATTCTACTGGATACACTACAAAGACGGGATATTTAATGTTCAAACTGATTAACTTATGCAGGTTGTGTTATATTTATATATATATTAATTTATGGTGTATCAAATAATGCAATGAAATATTGCTTTAACATAGCAGCGATGTTCTTGAATCTATTGCATGACCCACAATTTTTCTCTCTTCATCTATTCACTTCAAATCCATCTGAAACATGTTGCAAGCGAAGATAACCATGTACATGAGAAGTTAAATTGCATGGAAGAATAGAATTATACATGATTTCCTTTATTTATTTGAACCAAAATATTTACCTTGTTCATTTATTTTTGTTCATTTATTTATTTTCAGATAGCTGGATGGAAAAACAGAAGCCAAATATTGTCTCCTCAAACCACAGTAAGTAAGAATTTCACTCAAGAAAAGCAATTTGGTGTGTAGTCTAAATTTATCTTTCAAATTTTTTTTTGTTTTTTTTTTTTTGTTGTAAATTTTGCAAAAAAACAACAACAGCATTGTAACATCGGTATATATCTTTTAATTGCATCAACATCGGCTTTTGACAAAGTGATACCGGTCAACCACTCATTACTTTTTTCCATTAGTATTTCATAGAGGACATATGTTTTGGGTCGTTTGACGTGAATGTATCGAAATAAACAAATCGTAAGATCCTATTTTGGGTGAAAGTGATCAGTGTTTAGCCAAGAAGGTTGGATGGACAGACAACAGACAGAGATAGAAAAAAAAGAGAGAGAGAGAGAAGCCAACATTTGGCTGACACCATTGCTCTAAACACATCATTGATTGGATTGCACTGGAGGGGGTGCATGTGTGTGTGCAGCTGGCATGAGTGGAAATTGTAGGTTAATAGGAAAAGGAAATACATGGGTCTATAGACGGGAGTGGGTGTGTGCGCATTGACTGATGTGCATGTATTGATCGGTGCAGGATTGTTAAATATCCTCTAAAAACTAAATCAGTGAGAAATTTCTGGGTCAAATCAAAACGACATCACATCTTAACCATGTAAATTTGAAAATAAATCCGAGCTGCTGGTGAAAAGCTCACCGTCGGCATAGACAATAAGATTAAGAGAGAAAACTGTCTGACCCATTGTGGGAAAAGATGAGGGAGGGAAGAACACAGAGACAGAGATGTGTAGGCTGGAGAGGGAGTTGAAGGGGTGTATTGTCAAAGCCAAAAGGGATGAAACATGAAAAGGAAGCAGGGCTTGCCTTTGGGAAATGGAGTCAATCGATGCCAAAGATGCCAAACTGTTAAGGGGCAAATGTGGGGTGAGTGGGGGGTTGTTATATAACTCCAAAATGGCAGCCCTGTTTCAGACTTAAGTTAGCATCTTTTTAGGTGCTGAGAGAAAGCAGCACCATTGAGTATGTCTTTGTAAAATGTCCACTATCTATTTACTGATAAACAGATGATTATTCCTAAGTGTTTGCTCAGTTCAAACCCATTCAGGGGAGTAACATTTATGTGCTTGTATATCAGAAGAGATCATAAATGCTGAATTTATTTCACCTTAATATATAAATCGGAAGTTAATGTTCCCGTCATTGCATAATCAAACCCTACTATTTATTCCACAGCTCATTTTGGATCCTCAGGCATTTTTCCCTCCACAGGCTGCACTTAGGATAAGTTATCCCTCGGCCCCTACACACTCTTCATTATATAAAGTATATATTCTGTAGGCCCTGAGTTGGGGGATAAAACGTGTGAAAAGAGAGCAGTAGGATTTGGAGCAGCACGCAGAGAGGAGCAGCCAAAATAGAGAGAGAGAGAATATCAGCAGCTCTGCCTGCCAGCCTCACTGAGCTGCTAAGCAGGGCTTAACGATGCCCGCGGGGACGTGTATGTGTGTATGTGCATGTCAGTGTGGGTGTGTGCAGACTTTTTTTTTTTATACATTTTCCTTCTTTATAAGCCCAAAACAAGTGCTCATGTTTCGGGGTCAAATGGAGGCCAGATAATTATAAATGCAGAACTTTTTTTGAGGGTTGAAAACTTGACTACTTGGTTCAGAATAGACACAGGTTTGATTACAGCAGGTTAGGAAGGCTTTACTTTCACCTGTGAAGGGTCTAATTGTAATGTTATCTGGTCATGGTAAAGATGTTAAATATAGAGAGATACCATATGGAGGTTTTGGTAACAAATTTAGTGTAGCGCAGGCACGCCAAACTCCTGCAATATAATCATCTATGGCCCAGGAGGTGATTTCAAATGTCTATCATTCATGGCCCACCAGTAAAAAGCACTCCCACCACTCATACTACAAGTCCCACAATGCACTGCAACAGCTGCCACATATGCAGGTGAAGAATTCTGCATCAACCCCTCCTTCTGCTGCTCTAATGACACCTGGATAGTTTGTCAGCGGATGAATACATCGTAAGCATACACCATTAGACGACACAATGAGACATGACTTTAATTATGGACATATATGACGCAGTGAGAGCTTTTACAGGTCGATGCAGAAAAGGATCTTAAGTCACCTTCCATGTTGCCAAAAAATCACAAACCAGGTCTTCATTAAAGTGTTTCCAGCCACTCATCCTGCTGATGAACTGAGCACACTTCGCTCAAAGTTCACACACTGATTTCCTGACTTTGAAGCCCAGAAATGTCATTTTGAACTGCTCAGAAATCTATTTGCAGCTGACATGGAGAAAGCTCATGTAAACATGCGGATGGACATGATAGAACTCCAACAATTAGCTAAATACTTCCCTGGCAATGATGCACCAAAATAACTGTCATAAAACGACTCATTATGCTTTTTGAAAAACCTCAAACCAGATTCCTGACTATAGAAAAGTTGGTTATGGACTAAACTTATTAGTTATGTAAAGTTATAAATAGTATATTCAGTTGTTAATTTTTTATCAACTCTGGCAGATGTTTATAAGCAAAAAAACAGCTGCACTAGTTAATTTATAATGGTGTGAAAAATGCATCTAAAAAAAGCATCTACAAAAGACAGGGAGGCAAAGTTTGTTTCTCTGTTTTTAACATTTTGATGAAGCACCCCTGAAAATCACAGAGGTCTTTGCAACAGAAGCCAGCTGGTCAAGCCCCAAAGCTGATTATTTACGGGAATGGGGGTGCAGTGAGCATGTGTCCGTGGGAGAGCATGGGGGGCACAGCGCAGGGGTAGTGCTCAATGCCTCCCCTCTATGGTGGGCGGACCGGTCAGTTAAGAGAATTACTGAAAATATCAGCTTAAGATCAGTCCTTAACATTTAATCGAACACCATTCACTCAACACTTAAGAAATATGTTCATATTGTTTGCACATTTTGTTTTCTTCCCATCTCATACCAACGTTTGGTTTGTTGAAAACCCAAAAGGACTTTACGTTTATTAGAATAATAATATAACATATTGTGAAACATATTTGGTATGAGTGGAGGGATAGAGTTGGAGGGTATGTGTGTGTCCAAGTGTGTATATGAGTGGGTGTAGGCATGTGTCTTACTGAGTGGCAGAGGGGTGCGTGTGTCTGTGTTCCACTGACCTCGCCTGACCTTCTCCTCTGATTCTCTCCCCTGCTGTCAGCAGCGAGCCGACACAAGATCACAGTTGACTGTTCAGCCCCAAGGTGCCATCACATCTGATTGCACCAGAGGATTGGGTTTGGAAAGTGATTAAATATGGTGTAGTGTGCTCAGAGGAAAAGAAAGAGGGCCTGGAGAAATAAAGATTAATGGCTTAATGTTCAATTATAAGAGGTTACCCGTTTTCAAAACATTTTATTTGATAGCACCAAGGTCTGGGAAGTCAACTTTAAGGGATATTCATGATATTGACTTTGAAATGAATCAGTTTTTCTGTAAAACTAGAATTGACAAAAGCAAATGGTTATTTTAAGTTTCACTAGGACTACTCAGAATCTCATTTAGTCACAAATGAACTGAGGAGTCGAACACCTGGGCAATCCAATCAAAGCCAGTACAACAGCTCTGCATCAAATTCTACTTCAGGAAGCATCTGAATTTTCTGTTTTTGTTGACATGATCAGACAGGGGACAGCTGGTCTTTGAAAGTGCAATTTGTATCTCTGGGATCCAGCTTTTAAAATGAGTACTACAGTCTACAGTCCACATTCAAAACATTAGTGAGAGCCCCGCCCCCCTCCTCCAAACATCAACACACACACAGGACGTCATATCAGGAACATTGACAGTTCAGGGGTTTTAAGACGAGGCTGTAGCTCTGCTTGAAAAATGTTGAACAACTAGCCCTTCAGTGTAAGATGAAAAGTTTATATAAATGTTTGTGCGATGTGAACAATAATCTCACTCGTAATTTAAGGGAATTTTAGTCATATAGTTCATTCTTGGTTGTCTCATAAGCTGGTGTTATTGACGCGCTCACTGTTGCTTTCTTGGCCATGTGGGTAATGTGTTAAAAACATAGATTGTATATAGAGTGGACGCTGTCTGCCTCCTTGCTGGGTAAAGCCACTCCGAGAACAGCACCCTCTGTTGACGGGCTGCAGTTTAAGTCATAAATCCCGCCTCCGCTAGCAAAGCTTATGAAGCTGTAGACAAACTTAAGAAATTTATTACACAGAATATAAATGTTTATCTCCCTTGGTTGTGATGTTGACATGTAGTTACAGTAAGACTGGTTTGTGCTCAAGTCCTCTTTTTTCTGTGAAGCTCCGTTTTTAAAACTTATTGGGGGGTTCATGTTTTCTTTGATTGACACCTGATACAGCCTATTGGCACTCAAGGATTGCGTAGCTCTCCCAGGGGATACGCTGTTTGAGCCGAGCGTCATCACAGCGACTCTTGGCGACTCTCCCGCCAAATGTGCACAATGGTACTACGCAATGCTGGTTTCAGGAAATGAAGAAAAATCACAGAAATACCGAGAGCTTTTGGGCTTCAAATCTGTATACAGGCAGGAGGCAGAACCAAGTTGTCCATATTATACACAGTCTATGGTTAAAAATAGTGTTACCCACTGCCTTGATGTGATGCCCGTCCCTACAAGCAGCCAAAAAAGAGAGGAACTTTCTACTTTCTACTTTTTTTTTCAGTGAAAAAAAGGTATCCCTTTAAATCTGTTGGTCTCTTAATGTTTGCACCCACAACAGTTTTAAAATTTTGACTGAAGCAAAAACAAGAAAACAGCCCCCAACAAAATTAAAAAGGCATGTGGTCGGAGGTTTCCTTTTTTTACTCCTTTGCAGACATTTTATGGAATTAATCTGACGACACCTCCGGGAGACAATAACAGTTTCTGGCATTCCAGGACCACCTCCACACCCGCTGTCAGAGCTGATCAGACCCCTACATATCCACAATACACAACACCACCCTAGCATTACACCTACGGTCCTGGTTGTGCCTGACAAACAAAGTTTATCTTTAGAGCCAAAACAGGTCTACATTTTTAGATTTCAAAGATCACACAGAATTTGTGGAGAAGATTCAAGGTTTTTGTTCACAATGAAGGTCTAAAGAAAGAATACATGTTTGTGTGAATGCCTACATGTATGTGGGCTGTGTGCACACAAGGTTTGTGGGAGGTGTCTGGGGAGTAATCCGTATGTCACAAAAGACTCTCAGTGATTTAAGAACTGAAGTGCATGATGAACGGTGGAGACACAGAAACAGAAAATAAAATGCCCAATCTTGTATCGCAGGAAGAGAAAATTGATGATAACAAACAAATCTTTATATGAATGGCAGTTAAAGTTAAAGGTCCAATATTTGCTCTTAAAATCACGTGTTGATAAAAGGGGTTGGAGTGATTTTCATTGCAGTAGTTTGAGTTCAGCTAATATTAGCATTAGCCTTGTAAGAGAAAACAGTAGAACTAATAACAATAGTTGTAGTAGCTGTAGCCTAGCAGGTTGAACCATACTCAGTCACATGTGTAACATCGGCAGCAACAATCTTAAGGAATCTACCAGGCAAGAGAGGCCACTAGAAAGACCTGAGGTTGGTAACTTAGGTCAGGGTGACCATATGTCCTCTTTTACCAGGATATGTCCTCTTTTTGGGGGGCCTGTCTGGCCTTGTCTGGCTTTGTCCAGGGGAGTTTATCAAATCCTTCAAATGTCTGGGGTTTTGTGTGGAAGTTTTGAGTTTGTGCTGCATGGACTTACTGAGTTAGAAGTGCATAAAAAACACTCAACCTGACCCGAAAAACTCCCAAAATTTACTACGCCTGACTCTGTAACTCCGATCCGCGTAGTCTTGTTTTCTTTTTGGGGATTCAGAATATGGTCTTACGGTACATGGATTTTTCTTAGGGTCAACTAAATGTCAGCAGTGTGTTCAGAACTGTGGACAGCTATATATACTTGAACGGTCTCAGACAAATCTTTGTCACACTTTGTTACGCTTTGTTAAACTTGTGGCATGATGAAGCTGTAACCCAGATCTGCAACCAGTAAAGCTTGTCAAAATGATCATCCGTGTGGACCTTCCATTTTTAGAGTGTGAACATGGGCTAGGCATCCTTGATGATGGAAAAAAATAATATTTGGTAAAAGTGAGAGATTAAAAAAAAAAAAAGCCAAAAAAAAAAAAAAGGGTTTCTCCTGTAAAACATCACAAATTGAATCCAAATTTTAATATTTAAATTTCAATACTTTTATATTCCTGGTTTTATTACTTTTTAAAAATATTTCTCACTATGTGTTATTAATCATAAAAACCTCTAATCACAAAATAAAGACACAATATGTAGAGAAGATAGCCCTTTGTTGTTTTTTTGTCCAACAATGGTCACCAGGTGGAGAAGGAAATGTAGAAGTCAACAAGAATATGTTTATTTGTCATGTAGCCAAAGGATGTCAGTAAGTTTAATTGTGTTATGAGACAAGAAGAGGAGACCACCGAATCTCAGAAGTCTGATAATGCTCCTGTAAATAAGGGGCTTCCCCATCCAAGAGTCCTTCACATGCAGAAATGCAGCATAAGTATCGTTAATGGGCACAAAAGAGTGATTAAGTCACATTTGAAAGCAGTAACGAGTGCAGTGATTAATAATCAGTGGAGTAAAGAACCGCAGCTTTGTGCATTACCTGTGGAGGATCTACTGTGATTGGAGAGACACGCGCTCTACTCCGCCCCCCGGCGCGCTGCCCGCCTCTCCAAATTCCGAGCGCACACATCCCTCAGTATTTCCCTCAGCCAGACGCTCGGTATGAGCTCCGTTTTCTCCAGGCGGACGCGTGGATGAATCAAATGTTTTCTTTACGGTATGCCGCCTGATGCTGACTGAGCTGCAGTCATTTAGGAAAAAATCTCCCCCCCTTCCCCCCTTGTGCCGCGTTGTGTTTTTCGGATGCGCCATGCAATCTCGCTGGTGGAGTTTAGGCATTCGTCTGGTGGCGTGGACATGGATTTGGAGTCTGTCATCGCTCGGAGCGTGGTGCATCCCTGCAAATGAAGGTAAAACCGGCAAAGACAGAGAGATTCCGACCTGTTTGGTGCGCGACTGTGCTTTTCTAGGCATTGACAAGTCTGGTCTGTTCATGGTCTGTTGTGTACCCCCAGTGCCCCAGACCGTCGGTCTCCGGGCAGGCTGGAGAAACCCTATAGAAAATGAGGTCGCTTGTAAAATTTGAGGGGATCATTTTAATCACAGCTTCTTCAATAAGTGTTTAATGACTGCGAGTTCATAGATGCGTAAAACAGAAGAGTGGACCTCTGGACGGTGGCGACATGTTCTCCAGAAACCGGTCCTTTGAGAACTTGGCAGCAGAGAGAAGCGCACGGCGCGCTGCGAAAACCACTGTCTGCTTTCAGTCTCAAACGGTTCCTCTTCAACGCATGAGAAGCTTATATAGGCTAGACACTGAGCCTAATACACATTGGGAAAATGTAAAGTAGAAGAGTTGAAAAATCATTGATTGTTTGAATTATTTTTATTCTATTTTATAACAAAAACCTTTAATTTTGCGGTGATTTTTTTGTTTATTTCTCAATTTGATTCTTTCAGAGCTGTCTGCCGTTTGTCTTTGCACATCAGACAGTAAATGTACCGTCAGCCTGTGATTTACATGGCATATTGCAGTGATAGCTTATCTTTCTGAATGATTATCAGTTACCTTTGGTATTTGTTGGATTGGCAGACTGTTAACTCATCAGTTTGATTCAGCTGAACTTGTGCATTTCTCGTTCCCACGATATTGTCCGCAATCTGGGCAGCATTAATAGCACGAGATGAAGGCCTTTTGTTTGAGGCTATTAAACAGCATTATCCGGGAAAGGCACCGCATTCATCAACCTGCTTATTCTTCACATGACAGATTTATTTGGTCAACGTCAAGAGTCACCGTGGTGGTGGTGGCTCTAAAAAAAAAGTGTGACCACGGGACACAGAGGCATGTAGTGGGGTCATGAGTCCTGGAGAGGTTTAATTCTCATTTTCTTATATTGGTGAAATTTGTACTGTGCTTGAAGAAATGACATCCATTTAACCAGCTGTAAACTTGTACACAATAAGAGTTAAGTCTTTCAAAAGTCACTTGAGACTTAAAAAACTCTCTTCTTGAAAAGCTTTTGCCAGGGGCTTCCACTCAACACTGACTAATTATTTGGCATCATTTGTTTGGAAAGTGAAGCAAATCAATTAATCCCCTTATTTAGGTAGATCACTGCAAATGAAAACAAAGGATTAAACAAATCATCAGCCCAACTCTTAGCATCTTCTTAAAGTTGAAAGGGACTTTCAGATGCATGCAAGACTTGCTGTTTGCATATGCGTGAGTATAAAAGAGTAATTCAGGTCTCAGACTGCTCAGACACCCTGCAGCAGATTTTCCTCGTGCAAACTGTCAACAAAGTTCACCTTTCATTTTCATTGACATGGTTGCAAAGTTTGGATACATCCTTGATTTTGTTCACATCTTTTTCTGCTGTCTCCACCACTGATTGATAAGAAAGAGGATACTTGAACACATTTTGCTTCCTAGGTTAAATTTCTTTAACTTTATTCACCGTATTAAAAAAAAAATCTGGGGAGCCAGATGTCCATATCTGTCCACATCTGAGATATATTTCTATCATATCTGATGGAAATGAGCCCAGTTAAGATGATGTGAAGGGTGTGAGAGATCTTTTGGTTTTGCTTTTTGTGTGTAATGAGTACATTTTTTTGTGAAAGACTTTTAGCAAGTGCATTGGTGCTGGATTTCCTGTGCATCTGTGTTTGAAAGAGAGCAGGCCACGAGTCCTTTGGGATCCAAACCAACATGCTGAATCAATCATAAATTAGAGAGAGAAAAAGAGGCCAGCATGTCGAAGAAATAGTGAGTTTTGTGACTTAACATTTAGATTTTTGATTAAGAGGACAGACCATATAAGGATATTGGCTGTGAGACACGTCACCTGATTTGCCTTGCAGTTGTTAGATCAAATTGTTCAGTTAATTTCCAGAGTTATATTATCCACTCATTTTTCAACATATTTGAATCACCTCTAAGTAATGTAACCACAGGACTGTGCTCATTCTCTGGTAATCACTTTAAATGACAAGTTAACACCATTGTGACTACCGAGAGCTAACTTGTTCGGTAGTTTGATCCTTAGAGAGAATGAGTGCAAGTAGAATAGGTAATATACCTCTTATGATCTAGTTCAGCAGCACTTATCTCTTCTTTATGGCCTAATTAAATGTGTAATCGCCTCCTAAGGACATCTTTTAATATTCTCTGCAGAGCAGTGGAGACACTAAGACTAGGGCGGTGCATGGTGCATGTGGGTGTGTTAAGGAGCGCTAGTAAGTGAGCATGTCTCTGAGACTGTAACTGCAGCTCACTTCACAAGTTCAACTGACTCCACCCTCTCATGTTCGGGATTGTGTTGACATAAGTGCAGGGTTCTGCTTTTTTAATAGCACCGCTTATCACAGTACATATGACTGGGAGCGTATTACCTAACAGCTGGGCAAAGACAGATAACAGATGCAACTTTGCATGACTGATTTAATCTCATACATACAGGATGTTTACATACATACAGTTAAAAGATAATACTGGTCGTTTTGATACAACTGTGAATACCAACTGCCATGCTAAGGGGAAAACAAAGGAATATTTAATAATTTAGACTTAGATACAATACAAGAAACCTTGGCATGATTTCTTCTGCTCTGTATACCAAGTTTGAAAGATGTCACAACCAGTAGAATTAGCTGGCTTTCTCATATCATTGAAATCAGTAAAAGGAAAGTGCGAGCTCTACCCATTTGATATTGTTTACTAAGTAGATTCACACAGAAATGACAGCATTAAATTCAGCCTCCTGTGACTGAAGAAGTTAAGAAGAGTTCATATGTTTCACGTCTGTCTAGCAGATGTTAAAGGAAAGCAATAACAACTTTGATTATTGTTGTTGTTGTAATGTTGACATGCTCATAGTAGGTTGTGGTTTTAATTTACATTAAAAGTATCTTGAGATATAAAGTATGCCAAAAAAGTGAGTGTTGGTGGATGAAGGGAGTAAAAAAGTGCATTTACAAATAAATATCTCAGGAGGCTGGGTGAGATTTTAAAGCATGTGACAGATATCAATCTGGTTCTGGCTATGGTTTGTTCATATTTCTAGCTCTTAAACTGCTCCCACTCAATGGAGATCACCTTGACAGTCTCACTCATTTGATCTTGTTTGGTTGTGTTTGAGTATAATATGAGAAATATGAGATGAAGAAGCCTCACAGAGTTTGAATTGTATGTATTTAATGCATATCATGTCGAGTCACACTTAAACAAACTTTGTTTCAGGGCAGCCACAAGAAAAGTCTTATTTCTTTTATACAACCTAAGCTACCGTTTCCAGCATCTGCATTTTTCTTTCATAAAGTGTGCCACGGTGTTAAAATCATACTGAAACAAACATTTGTCCGTTAATCGTTTGGTTACACTGCACTCAGACTTAAAGCTGAATGGGGTTCAGCAGATACCTTGGATGCAAACAAAGCCACTAAAGAAAAAGTTGTACCCTGGAGACATATTCTTTGAATTAGCTTTCATGAGGGAAAATAGACATAATTTTTGGCTGCGTGTTTGACAAGGATTTGTGTGTCTTTGTTTCCTTTTCGGCAAACTGGTAAAAAAAAAAATGAGACAGACAGCAAAGACTGTGACCAGCTACACAATCAGCTTTCAGTTGAAAGACTGAGAATTGAATGAATCAATTTGAGCGGAGAGAAGTGTTCAGGGATTGAGACAAGCTGGAGTTTTTGGTCAATGAGATGCACAAGAAGCTGAAAAGAAATATGTCACTGTTTCAAACCCAAAACTTGGAGCTTTGAAAACATTGAACATGACGTAATTTTGCATCTTATAGGAAATAAACCTGTAAGATTACATCTTGTAAACAGGTCTGATGTGAATTTAGAACTTCTCTCCAGACTCGTTGTTTAATCCCTCTTTCTCTTAATTCTAATTCTACCAAAAATCTGTAGATCATTTGGGCACGTGTTTATGGAGACTATGACAGAAGAAAGAAGTTGGACTGTAGTATTATAGAATGACTCAAATGTTGTTTTCTTTTTATCTGTATGATTTCTTTTTATCCATTGCTTCATAATGAGTATCTGTGTTTTCTTCAACAGTTAACCTGCTGGATTCTCGCTCTGTAATGGGAGACCTGGGATGGGTGGCATATCCAAAGAATGGGGTGAGTATGAACATTGAGGAGATGTTTTCTTACAGAAATGATCATTTATGATAAAACCAGACCCTTATTTTTGCTGCTAATACCCACAACTATACTTTTTAGTATTTCTTCTTGTTTGGCATTCCTCCAGAGCTGTATGGTTTCTCTAGCTGTTTAGATGGCTTAAAGTGTGCGGGGGTCTTTTGATTGATTTAAAAAATGAGGAGTTTTTTTATAAAAGACTGAGATGAACAGTGATAAGTCTTTTGCAAATGAGACCATCAATGACAAGACTGACACTTTCTATTTAGCTATTTTTGAAAGCCTGTCACTGTTGTGAGGGGAGCTACATTTAGCAAACAGCCATTGTTAATTTTTCCAAAATGCACTAGTGATAAAATTGAGAGGAAAATGACAACAGGCGGACTTTTTTTTCTTTGGTCAGTAAACACCTCTTAAAGAAAGATGAGACAAATCAGGGTTACCAATTTGTCCACAAGGGGTGCCAAAGTCACACATGAGCTTTAAAGGTGGGGTAGGCAGGATCTGAGGAAGTGCCAGTATTTAGGAGAAATCTTGAATGTAAACTCTACCCCTCCCAAACAGTTTTCCCCTCAGCTCCTCCTCTCCCCTCTCTCTCTGCTCCAGCAAGCCCCGCCCACAAACAGACACTGCTGCTCGCTCGTATCGTTCCAGTTAAATTCAGATATAATGCAGATAAATACTTTAGATAATTACAAATGGGGCCCAGTCAACGTCAAAGTAAAAAGCATTGGTGCTACTGTAGATGCCAACAGACTACCAGCAAACACAATGTTTGCAGGACTTCTACAACTAGGTGGCATAGTCCAGGACCCGAGGTCAACAGCTTAGCAGCACTACACAACGCTACAGCAGGTCCCATTTGACTAGAAACACTTCTGTTACAGACACTTGTCTTATTTTGTTAAAGCGGTCCAGTAGAAAGGTTACAGGGTCCATAAGATCCCGAAGCGTCACCCAATGTCTATGCTCCAATGATGTTGACCAGCTTTTTAGCTCTTGTCCGGTGTACCTCCGTTTTAAGCCATAGTCTCTGGTATTTACTCCATTTTCTTTCTTGTGTCGGCATTTGTAGCCAAAGGAGGATTCAGACAATTTTCCGTACTTACTGGTTGCTTTCTACTATCCGATGTTGTTGCACGCTAACTTTGTTTGGGCTTGTAAACATTAATCGAGGATGTGGAGTGTGGAGAATGGCTTTGTTTACAGTCAGAAAAAGCGGACCGCTCAAAAAAATTGAAATGCTGACTACACAGACATAAAAAAACACAGCGATATCATTATATTACCAAATGTCATCAATAGCTAATAGCTATTGACTGATATTAAAAGATTTTTAATAAAAAACATGCTTCTTTAACAGATTCCTGCCTACCCCACCTTTCAGTTATCAAAACAGGGTTGAAGGCTAAAGATAATTTACTCCTATTATATTATTAATGTATATAATTAGTGTGTAAAATTGTGTATGTGTGTAGGATTCCAAGTAGTAGCTTGTTGAAAGACTGACAGAGGTTTAAAAATATGAACTAAAAACGATGTTCTGAGAAATTAATTCATGTGTTCCAGAGTTTAAGCATTCGTTGTTCACGGCTCAATCTTCTGCATCCTCCAGGGTAAAAGATAGAGCTGTTGTGGATTTTTGGAAAGAAATTCATAAATGCATCTATCTCATTCACATGTAAAATCTCTCATATAGTCACCACCACTGGTGTTGGCAAATACTGTGTGTAGCTGCACAAGCCACACCAAATAGTGCTGATTGTGGAGTTTTTCTCAGCTCTGGGGATTCACATCACAACCCATTCTGTGGCTGCATGTAGATTGGAGTGATATTGCTGACAAAAGCAGCTGTATGCACAATCATATTAATGAAGATGTGATTATAGTGTGGGGGTTCCTACAATGCAACTGCATAAATAACTGCATTCAGGGGAGAAAATAAGAGATGCGATAAGAAAATGGACGAATCTCATTGTGACAGACTCTCTTATTGGTTATTATGTTTCCACCAAGCTCCAGATTAAGCTGATGAGGATGCTTTTTATTTCCTACTGAGAGTACTGTCTAATGAAAAGACACACAATTATAATGTAATCCATGTTCAGCATTTTAACAACTGACACAATTGTTGTTGGACAGTTTAATTACTGTCATGCTGTGTTTGTATAAAGATCTGCAGGTTACACTCGCACATTTTCCACACAAGCAAACACACATGCTCACTGGGGAGCCGCAGTTTTGTGTGCATAAAAAAACATAATGAAGAGGCACAAGTGTATTTTTTTAGTCTCGCGCTCCAGATGGTTTGTTTGATCCCTGGTTTTGCCTCCTCCTCCCGACTTCACCCCTTCATCTTTTCTCCTTTCATTCTTTTTGAGCTTAGTTTTAATCACCATTCTCCCATCCCATCTAGCATTCGTTAACTCTTCATCCTCCTCTTTAAATTTTTTTGTCAGTTGCTTGTCTTTTTATCTCACCATCATGTTTAGACTGCTTTCGTTTTTCCATTGCTCAATTGTGCTTGAAGGATCTTCAGATATGCGTTGAAAACATACCTGCTGCTACTAAGTTTCACAGTAACGCCTCGGTGCACTAAAACCACATTGCAAGGAGTATCTAGCCATGCGAATAGCTTGGTTTTATGTGCCTATTTGAACAAGCTCTTCAACTTCTGTAACTTCCCCTGAAATTATGTAAAAAGTAGAAAAAGATTTTTTTAAATTCTTTTTATAATTCTGAACAGCTTGTAAGATATCTGCTGGTAAATCCATGTGTATCCACAGTGAAGGGTTTTTGTAATTTGAGTGAAATGGCCTTATATGAGGGGCTTATGTGAACTGCATTAAAGAAAAAAAGATGTCAGGATTTAACTTCCCAAACAATTAGGTAAAGATGTCCCTATACGATATTGATATCAACAAAAAACGAATATCGGATTATATCAGCCTGCATCTAAAATCTCTGATACAAGCAGTCCATTCCAGACTCTGCTCCAGCACCTCTATCTAGCAGCGCCGGGATCCAGCATGCAGAGCCTACATGATCACACCAACAGTGTGTACGAAGGTACTAACAAAGTAGCAAGGAGTAGGAGTGATGTCGGCCATGTGACAGTATTTTCTGTTTAAATCAGAAAAGACGTTGCAGCTGAGTGCAAAACTTGTCATGCACAAGTTTGTGCTTATGTCAAATCAATATCAGTATTAGCCAATACTGAAGGCTACAATATCGGTATCATATTGGAAGAAAAAAGTTGTAACAGGACACCCCTGCAAATAGGTACTGTTTTTAACAGGACTAATCGCGCTTGTCATATTTGCAGCAGTGCTGCGACAAAGCTCTAACATCATCATCATCATCCCCTTGTATTTAGATATTAATCCCACATAATGACATAATATTGGTTTCCCACTGTGTGATTTCACATTGTATTATGGCACAAAAAACACAGAGCTGCTCTGTCGTCTCCCTCTTGGCCATTACACTTCTCTTCTTTTCCAACTGAAGGCAAGAAGTCAATATTGTGCGCTGAATTTGCAGTATGATAAAATGATTTTGAGAGACAAAGGAGCAAAGCAGAAATAGAGAAAGTATAAAATCAAGATAAAACTGATAGACATGAAAGCTAGATGTCCCTGCATTTCTAACATGGTTTGTCTAGACCCAACAGTGTCAGTTTTTTCCTCCAAAACTATATATATTTAAACTAAATGGCCCCTAATGCCTATTACCATGTTCACTCATTTATCGACATATTAAATAAATAGACTAAGTGGACTATCTAAATCTAGTCCTCTTTACATCATGTCACATTCACATCCAAACTCATTTACACACTAATGGCCCACCTTTTTTTTTGTCATTTACGCACCAGTAGGGGTGGGTGGGGTCAAGTGTCTTGTCAAAGGACACTTCAGCATGTGGACAGCCGGGATCAAATCCCTGATCTTCCAATAGGGAGACAATCGACAGCCGTCTTTAAATAAGCATTTTGTTAAGAGGAGTGTGCAAAATCTGTCTTTTCTTCTAATTTAAAGCCCCAAATTGTAAACACACAATTATAATTCAGTTTGGAAATGCATTACACTGAGAAAGTGAGTGTGCCATTTATCAGAACTTATGAAGCAAAAATCAGATCGCATAAGTAGAAGTAGCTATTTGTAGTTAATCTTAACAGGCAGGGGATCATGTTCAATTATTGTTCAGTGACAAGTTTTTAAAGTTTGGCTCTAAGTAGGTGTCATATCCCATTTACATTTAGTCATTAAAAACAGTTCATGAAGCATGCAACCTGCCAGAGTCAACGAAAGAAACCACATTTTAAAAACAAACACTTGACCGATTTAGCCTCATGACAAACTAGAGAGGGTCGTCTCTTGAACCCCCTGCTGTGCCACTATTAATGGTCGGGGTGTGAGTCTTTGTGTGCACATGTGTGTGTGTGCATATGTATGTGTGTGTTTTAAGCTGTGTAAAGCTCCGAACAGGCTGGTGGATCTGTGCGATCTAACCAGTAAGAGGCTTAATGTCTGCACAGGCTGAATGAAGTCTGGGAGAGATATGGACTTTTTGTCTGTACATACAAGAGTCTGTGTTACTCTTATTAAAAGTGACCTTTAGTTTTTTTTTACTGCCAGCCCTCAAATGGAAGAAGGACTTTTACATTTTCAAACTTTTTTTAATACTGTTCAAAAGTTTTAATATGTAACACAGGTTAACAAATGCCGTTCATTCAGATTGCTTTGGTTTAATTCAGCTGTGTTCAACGTTAATGGCTAATTTAATACTAAATACACTAAGGAATAAAAGACAAGGCCTACTATATAATCAGAAATGATATTAAATAAACTAGTTGTGTGACAAATAAGAAAATTTGTTGTTGCAAACACAGAAATCTTGGCTTTTCTGCTTTCATAGAATCATTTGTTTTCAAAGTACAAAAGTTGAAGTCACAAAAGTAGATAGAAACAAAAACAGCCTGATGGAGCTCAGATTTAACATATCAACCCCAGAGGTGGAGACTTTTGATTGCACGTATCATTGCGGTCTGAATCTGGTTCACGGTAACCAGCAAACAAAGACGGTGAGAAGACAGATGGAGACAAAGACAGTAGCGGGTAGAAAGAAAATACAAAGGCAACAGCTACAGACAGGATCAACTAACAAGGGCTATTAAGCTATAACACCAGATCATAGCTCGGTCCCTCTGGCCACATTATGGTGACATGATGAAGAGCCAATGTTAGCCACGGGAGAGTGCTAGTGATGCAGATAATAGCCTCCTCCCATGAGACCTGCAGAGGGAATTAATGCTGCTGTCTTACACTCACATAGGCAAGCTTGAAAACAGACACAGTCATTTACATACACACACACACATTTACACACAGACAGGAGTGAATGTGTGCGCACACCTAATAATAGAGGTATGGTTATGATGTGGGATACACTTTCAGTTTATGTTAATGGATTTTTCTGCTGACAAGAACCCCTCCCCCTCGTTTAGGCCACAGACTGGGTAAAAGAAATATGTACTAACAGTATCTCAGTTCCCATTGTAGCAGGAGAGGATGAGTATCATTCTGCCGACTATACGCTTACAGACACAACCCCATCGACCAAAATTTCAACTCACATTTCTGAAGCTGATTATGACTACATTTTTATGCAGTACATCAGGTCTTTTCTACTAATTGGTTGTTTTAATTGTTTTCAAATTATACAACATTTGAAGATAACAGAGTTTAAGCAGTCATATCAGAGCTGAATCACTCATACTAGACTTATTGGAAGTGTAATTTTCCTCTCTCTTTCACTCTTTTTTTCCTCTCTTTTTTTGCCTCATTGCCTCTTACCATGTTTCACAGGATGATACTAATTCTGCTAGCATTGCAAAAGTGCTTCCAGTCAGTGTGTTTCAATGCACTTAAATAATTATTTATTGAAATACTTAAAAAAGTATGTAAACATGTTAGTCTGACCAAAATAGCATAGAAATTGAACTCATAGTCAGACAAACGTACATGGATAATGCTGTTGGAGATGAATTTTCTCTGTCATGTATACAGCTAGGGCTGGGCGATATGGCTTCAAGTCAATATCACAATATTTTGAGCAGTTCACCTCGATAACTACTCCACAAGCTGCTCACCCCCTCCCACATTAACTTTGCCTACTTCAGCCCTCGCTCCAGCCGCTACAACTTTTGAACCGTCCTCCATCTCCTCACCTGTCTTTACCTCTTTGTTATGGACTGGATGGGGTGGAGTCACGTCTCCAACGTAGGACAGCGTCTTAAAGGGACATGAGACCATAGCCTACCTACACACATCCAAAACCAACTTTTATTTATTTATTTTAACACCCAATATATTGACATGGGCAAAGTGATGTTGGTTATTGTCGTAAATTTCGGTGTTGGTAAATCTTCGGTTTATTGCCCAGCCCTATATAGGTCTCAGTCAAACTAAACTAGTGTCAACTGTACTTCACTGAAAAAACAACAACCACTGTGACTGAAAAAAAACAAATTTAGAGGTCCACTATAAATCCTTCTCCCAAGTTGTAGGATGTTGGATTGTAAATCTTTTTGTTCTTTGTTTTTATAAACCTCCCTCTTTTTCTCTCTCAGTGGGAGGAGATCGGGGAAGTAGACGAGGATTACGCCCCCATCCACACCTACCAAGTGTGCCGGGTGATGGAGCCCGGCCAGAACAACTGGCTTCACACCAACTGGATCCTAACTGAGGGTGCTCAGAGGGTCTTCATTGAACTGAAGTTCACCCTGAGAGACTGTAACAGTCTTCCAGGCGGTGTTGGGACCTGCAAGGAGACGTTTAACATGTACTACTATGAAACAAACGGAGATGAGGATGAACTGGAGTACGGAGAAATGAGAGATGGAACGGGAATCACAGAGGAGGAGGACAGGGCTATGAAGGAGAGTAGATATATCAAGATTGACACCATAGCAGCTGATGAGAGCTTCACTGAACTGGATCTCGGGGACCGTGTGATGAAGCTCAACACTGAAGTCCGAGATTTAGGTCCCCTGACCCATAAGGGCTTCTACCTGGCGTTCCAGGACTTGGGAGCATGTATCGCTCTCGTCTCGGTGCGCGTTTTCTACAAACGCTGCCCCTTTCTGGTGAAGAGTTTGGCCGAGTTTCCCGACACCATTCCAGGATCAGAAGCTTCCCAACTGGTGGAGGTAGTGGGCCGCTGCGTCAATAACTCCCTACCTTTATATGAGCCTCCCAGGATGCATTGCAGCACCGAGGGAGAATGGCTTGTGCCCATTGGGAAGTGTGTGTGCCAGCCAGGATTTGAGGAAATTAATGGATCATGTCAAGGTAAGAAATGGATGATGAGTGATAATAAAACATTTGGTTGACAAACTAGTTTACAGCATTTTGGTCGAGATTCAAACAACTGAAATCTAATTATTATCTCGAGCTCCGGTTTTTTGTCTTGGCTTGTGTTTTCTTGTTCTCTTCGCTGTCTCTGTTTACTTTTCTATCCGTGGCTGTGTCTGTTTTTAGTTCTGTGTGCGTGTGTGTGCTTGGATCTGTTTATTCTTTTACAGAGAGTGTATCTCTCTGTCTTTCTCTCTCTCTCGCTGCGTTTCTCTCTAGCTGAGCAGAGGGTATTCCCCCAAGCCCTGCAGTACTTTTCTGCTCTCATACAGACTCTGCTCTACCCTGAGTCAAGCCCAAACATTCCCACCACTAACCTTAACTGCCTCTTTCGTGGGCACCTAGAGCCTCTGTGTTTTTGTCTCTTTCCCTCTCCTCCAATCTTCCCCTGTGGTGTCCTTAAATCCCTCTGCTTCAGGACTAAAACACATACAACCATAAACTGCCAAGGGCAAAATTTCAAGTGTCTGTCTGACGCTAGACAGAAAGAAAGGAAATCTGACAGGAACAGAGAAGAACCTTGCCAATTCTCCTGAAACAAATAAGAGAGGATGGTAACCAACAAAAAACCCTTTCAGAGAATATGAGGTAACCTGCTTTGCTCTAGAGTTTTCTGTGAATGCAGAGGAAGATGTGAGTGCACTGTGTCTGAAGCTGACAGTATGAGACTGAACAAATAAAATCGACACCCATAAACGTTTACCAATCACACCAGTAAACTACTTAAGTTTGTTCACAGACAACTCAGTAGATGCTGCCAGCAGGCTCGTCACTTTGTGAAAACTGCATCAGTGAAACATAAAGCACTGGGGATAGGGATCGATAACCGGGTCCATTAGATATCCGATAAAGCATTTGTCAAAACCCCAAAATCAATAAAGTTTGAGCTTATCCAGTCTGCTTGCAAGCGAAGTAACATTACACTTTGAGTTAAGTTGTGTCATGTTAATTAAATCACTGTCACACACACATTAGCAGACTAAAGTTTTTGAACAGCAAACAGTTGAAAAGTAACATGAAGACTAATTCTGGTCAGATGTGACGATGGTTAAACGTTTGAGGAGGTTACTACACCAAAGTGTGGCTACATGTTTACGAAGCTGAAAAGAGGGATGAAGTGAAATGCGGTTTAAGTTGCAAAATAATTTCTTGCAAAGGAGAAACAAAACCTCCATGTCCAAGCCATCATAAGCACAGTATATCAAATCAAAGCTAAAGTACCTGCAGGACCTTTGACTGCCTGGAAAAATGTCAGAACCTCTGATGTCAGGGAAGGAGAATTGAGTTGTTAAAGATGCACGTCACATGTCTTAATTATACTTTGTTTACTATTCATTTAGCAGAATAAATCTATGAATATATCCTGATCTTTGCATGATAAGATGTTTTAGTTTGTATTTGAGTCTCCATGGGGAGATCATTAGGAGGAGCTGTCAAGATGCCCGTAGCCTGCCTGCAGTCATATTACCTCTGACTACAGTAATACAGATGTGTCACATCTGTGGTTGACAAGGCCAAAAAGTCATTCTGGTGTGCAGCAGTTACAATAACACAATAAAAAACAAGAATGTGTAATGTAAACGAGTGTTGTGTTAAAGAGGTTGTGTCATATCTGGAGAGAGAGGAGACGTTGTCATAGATTGAGTAAAATCTGGGATCATTTTTACCTCAGCTGTGTGTCTGGGGCTGTTTGGGACATGTTGAAAAGTTTAGATTATCAGAATTGTTTTAAATGTTTGTCAAATAATCGATCAATCAGTCGTACAGCGCCTGTTAACAGTATATTAACCCAAGACACTTAACAAAAAAGCTGGTCTAGACTGTATTGTATTTACAAAGACCCAAAGTAAAGACTGGGTAAGATTGAGTCCTATATTGTAAGATCAGATGCACTCCCATCTCATCTTCAACCACATAAGTGATGCACTTTGCAGCATTTATCAAGTTACTGTGGAAAAGAAGGACTTCCCTAAACAGGCAGAAACCTTGAGCAGAACCAGACTCATGTTAGACAGTCATCTGCTGAGACTGCATTGAGTTCAGAAAGGAGAGAAAGAGATGCAGAAAGAGAGAGATGGACAGAGGTGGGACCGATGCATGCTGGAAAGCAGGCAGGTCCATAGCAGATGAATGTCCGGAGCAGTAATCCAGAGGAACCTACTGCATGATGGAGCTCAGAGACTCCCAGAAAAGATATTCTTTCAACTTTCTTAAAGTCCCTAAAACCAAAATATCCTCGACCCCTGGCATTTCCTTTTAATATTTGTATGTAAATTATCCACAAAATTTGAATATCTTTGCACAACAAAACAACAACAACAATTAGTTTTTCTAGTTTTCAATATTTGATACCATTATTCACAAGTTTTGTCATTCCTTTCAAGTATGTTGCATTTTCTCATGTGACTGGCATTTACTGGAGAGGTGTTTTGGCCAAAAGTGTGGCGAGATTAAAACTGTATTTTGTTTCATGACAAATTAACCAGACAGAAAAAAAAAATAATGATAGCGGCCTTCTTTTTGTACCTCGACGCTAAATAGTGTATAAAGCTAAATTATGTATAAAAGGATAAAATCTTCCCCTTCATGTACTGCAGGAAGCTGACAGTATGTCTGCAGGCGTGTTTTAACTGTCCTGTCACAACAGAGCAAAGTTTGGAGGTCAGAGAAGGTCGAACTGATTTTCATTTTAATGAGTTTGAGTTTGTTTTGCTTCCCAGGAAGATGAAATTGTTTGATATGCAAATGTTCCTTATTGGTTGAATCATAGTCCATATGTGTGTTCAGTCAAATGAAATGGAAAAACTAAAATGTAAGCTGTTATAGTAAACACATTTCCCAGCAGCCGTTGAAGCTAGAAGCAGAATTTCTCAGTTTTATAGAAGAAGGAGTCTAAACTGCACCTTTTGAAATTGTTTCAAAGAAAAACACGGCAGAGCTTCCTCTCTTTCAGCGTAGTTACCTTATGTGTTTGCTGCTTTTAGAAAACTCTTTTTTTTTCATGTGTAATTCAGTCATTTACAGAACCTGGACTCTGTACTGTGAGCAGTTATGTATTCAGTCTCGTTCTTTTATGGGTAGAGGGTGTTTTTTGGTGGCCTGCTGTTCTGGGTATGGTAAAACAGAGCAGTGATTTATTTTGCAGTCAGTTGTGTTTGTTTTGCCCTCACAGTTCATACTGTGTCAGCCGTTTATAAAGGATATGCCATATTGTTAATGCATTTGTTGAAAAGGCTGAAAGGGGCTCCAAAAATGTGGTTAGCCTTCTGGTTCTAATGTAGTTTGTGAATTAGCGGTTTGCAGGTTTGTAAAGAAGAAGTGTAGTAGTCTATGTGAGCCTGTTATAGTGCTTCCAAGCAAAGCATCATTTTTGATTATAGGACACAACTTGTTATAAACCGCTTTCTCTATACCTTTTAGTCTGTATTTTTTCTTGCCATTTCACTCTGGCAGTACCTCGCTCCATAATTCCCCATCATTTTCATGCTTACAATTTTCTCCTCTCCTCTTTGGCTGAATATTACTTCTTGTTTCTCCACTTCTTTCTCTTTATCTTCCTCTTCATTGCTGCAAACATTTTTAAAATTAAACTCTGAAATAGAGGCCCCATATCAGCTGCCTTTTCAGTTTTGGACTCCATCCTGAGGTACTGTATACTTGTGGTTGTATAAATATCTCGGTGTACGTTTGAGTCCCATCTGTCAAGTGTCTCTCTAAACCTCAAGCAAAAACAATCTATTTTAATTTTAGAAAGGCAGGAGTGTGGAGTTTACAGTACACAGGATTGACAGTTTGTTGTGTACCTTAGATGAGGATTCACATAAATTGTTTGGAAGCCATTCTGTACTTTTGGCAGTGCTGTTTCACCGGATATAATACCAGGTGACACTGAAGGATATTTTATGTTGTGGGTCAGGATGGGATGTACAGATGTAGACACTAGTTCAGCAGGGGGTAATTGGTTGTAGCCGGCAGCACTGTTGACTTAGCAAGGCTGAACAAATGGAATAAGCACTAAGCAGATGTACTGAGGGATGGAGATCACACAGAGGAATGTGGTGGCAAACCAAAGAGAGAGGGGTGGAAAGAGAGACATGGAATGAAACATATATGATATTACTGACAGTATTACTGACAGTATATTCAGAATAAAACCTGAACTGAAGAACGTGTTCATGAAAATAAGGTTGAATAGTCAAGTGTAGTTAAAAGCATTGCTTTTAGCTAGTTTCTGTAGCTGACACTCCCATGCTGTGTTGCATCAAAGGTAAAAAGTATAGGTGGGCTTTTAGTGTTGTTGTAATAATAGCTCCGATGCCATAATGACGTGTGATCCACATGAACATTTGCCTGAGCAACACTCTTGAATGTTGGAATAAGGACTGCTTTAGAAATGAATAATGGGCTTTAACTAAAGTAGATGATCCATAGGTAGAATGAGAGCTGTGTTGAATGCTGAAATGATGATGGAGTTGAGACCATAGAGATGATTAAATGTATGGATGGCTGAGTGGATTCTTGGATTGAAAGCATTGTGATGTTGGTTAAGGAGGCTGTGCTGTAACCACATGAAGTGAAAAGAACTGGAGATGTAAAAGATATGCAGTGAAGTGTAAAAGAGCTCAGAGCGTACAGAAAAGAAGAGAAACAGCAGTTGAAAAACACAACAGAATGTAAAAAATGGTATCAGCGATTAGAATCAATTAATCTGAATGTTAAAGCCCGCCTAACTGGAAGAACTTTTGACCATTTTTTCAGCATATATCTTTTACGTGTGTTATAGGTAGAGCTGGAATTGTTTCTGTGCAGGGCACCACAGATGTTTCTGTAAGACAGACGTCACTGCAGCGTTATGTCAAACCAGATCTGATCATGGGAGTTATTCGTCCATCAGAAACTGTCACACTGATTTAAAATGCAAGAAGCCTTTCTGTCTTCTCAAGGGATTACTGGATGGTGAACAAGCGAGTTACATTTACAGTGTGATTGATGGAGCGGAGGCTAGAGTAACACAGTCACCTGAAAAATACAGGCATACACACGTGATCATAATATCTGCTTTTTATATTTGATAAGCCTGAAGTGCTGGTCAGGATGTAATCGTTAAATGTTATCATGACAGCTATCATCATTGACGGATGGCTGACTGATACCTATGTAATGGTACAACAAACCAGACTTTTTTGCACCCGTACAAAAAGCTATTTCAATCAGTCTTAATATTTAATAATATATCTATTCTATTACATCCATGAAAACGGAAATCCTGTCATCCCTGAGTTGCCCAAGAGATGAGGAATCACAGTACCACAGTCTTCTTCAATCTGCTTGAGGTTTTTTTTTATTCCCGAATTTCCTGGTTTACTACTAATCTGCTGAAAAGAGGCCATTCATCTTTTTAGATCCTATTTAACTGGAAGCTGTTACTGGCTGCTTTGATGACACTTTTTCACTTTCTCTCTCTCATAACTCTTTCACTCTCTACACCCCTGCCCCATCATCTCAATATGGTGATGCTGTCATGACAACTGTAGTGCTTCCTAAATGCTTATTGGGTAAACTGACTTCCTCAAAAGTGCTTCCCTCCTGAAACCCTCCCCCTGTCAACATAAACACACAGTCACATGATGTATATTTCTTAATTCTGATGATTGTAATGGTACACTTATTACCAGGTAATTAACAGGTAATTACCTGGTAACAACATGAAATTATCTGGTAATTACATGATAACTACTAAGTCAATACTGTCTAGCTACCAGGTAGGTAACCTTCCATCATCATACAAATTTGAAGCCGAATTGCTCTGGTATTTCCAGGATTTTCTCCGCTTCCTGGAACCACCACTTGCGCAGTAGCATTGTACGCATTCGGCGGGTGAGTTGCTGTGATAATGCTCGGCTCAAACAGCGTATCGCTACGCAATCTTCACACGCCCATAGGCTGTATCAAGTGACAATCATAGCAAATAAGAACCCCAAATAGCTTTTTAAAATGGAGCTGCACAAAAAAAAAAGAAGAAAAATTAGACAGTATTGACTTAGTAGTTATCATGTAATTACCTGATAATTTCATGTTGGTACTAGGTAATTACCTGTTAATTACCTGGTAATAAGTGTACCATAAAAGAAAGGGTTACCATTGTAACAAATGAATGCAGCGAATGAAAACCCAAAATTCAGTATCTCAGGAAATAGAGGTTCAATATTGGAGACTGATGGTATCACACTTGAATCAGATATCCAGCTTAAACGCCTACATAGGTGTCCTGGGCCTTTAAATGGTCAGTCAGTCTGGATCAGTCGGCCACACAATCATAGGAAGGACTGCAGACTTGATAGTCGTCCAGAAGACCATTATTGACACCCTGCACTAGGAGGGTAAGACACGAAAGGTCATTGTTAAAGAAGCTGACTGTTCAGAGAGCACTGTATTCAAGCACATTCATGAAAAGATGAATGAATGGAAAGAGTGGTAGAAAAGGCTGTAGTTATTTCTGTCATTTGTGCGAATTTAAGAGGATTGTGAGACAAAGCCCATTCAAGAATTTGGGGGAGATTCACAAGGAGTGGACTACTGCTGGAGTCAAAGCTTCAAGAGCTACCATGTACAGAGGACCATAGTATCCCTGTGATTGATTGGCCCGCAAACTCACCTGATCTAAACCCCGTAGAGAATCTGTGGGGAACTGTGAAGAGGAAGGTGTGAGACACCGGACCGACAACCCAGAAGAGCTGAAGGCCGCTATCAGAGCAACCTGGGCCTCTATCACATCTTAGCAGAGCCACAGACTGATCGTCTCCATGCACTGCTGAAGTAATTCATGCAAAGGGAGCCCACACCAAATATTGAGAGCTTTACATGTTCATACTACTGGATACAGTAGTCTAGCATTTCTGTTGAAAATCCTTCTTTTTATATTGGTCTTAATTAAAAATCTAAATTTTGGGTTTTCATCAGCTGTAAATTATAATTATCGAATTGAAAAGAAACAAACACGTGTGTAATAAATCCCTATTATATATAAGTTTCACTTTCTGGATTGAGTTACTGAAATAAATCAACCTTTTGATGATATTCTAATTTATTGAGATGTACATGCATACTGCTGAGGAGCATAATTACATCCTGATACATTTCCCAAAACTCTACTTTTTGCCAGAACAAATATGATTCGGTGATTAAATGCACTGCTCCACTAATAACTTTCACTAACAACATTTTATTTAATAACTTTAACACTAAAAATAAGGCATGCCTCGGTTTTCATGCATGAATTGAAATGATCTTGTGACACTGTAGCATAAACCCTTAACAAAATGGAAAGAGGCTCAGTCACAATGACCTCACACTGGTGCTGAAGTGTGTTCTCTCTCTCTCTCTCTCTCTCTCGCTCTCTCTCTCTCTCTCACACACACACACACACACACACACACACACTTTATCAGTCAGTGAAATATTTATAAAATGCTTCATTCAGCAGAGCGAGCCTCTCTCCATGAAAGCACGGGTGTTTTGGGGTCAACGCACATTTGCTTAAGCGCTGCTTTGGCAGGTTGTTCACAACAGTTTACCGTCATTCAGGTGCAGATCTCTGATTCATAATGGTAAACAAACAATATAAGAGAAGCCTTGGATGCAGATATCCACTTTAAGCTTACAGTGAGTGCTCATTGAACTAAAGCATGGGAACATAAACGCATCAAATACATGCAATTGAATGGATCAGTATATGTTTATCCACAATCAGACTTGACCTGAGTGCCAACTGTATAAAATCCTCTGGATTACTATAATAGTACTGAGAACCTGACCTCTGTTCACCCTATACAAGGGAGAGTTTTATCAGCACATTTGAGACAGCTAGACATATACTATAGAGTTTTTACCATGATGTTAATTGTCAATAAGTTCACTCATACTCACCTGGACCTTTACTATATTGGAAAACTTGTTGCAGTCTCTTTTTGTTATTTTCTCGCCTGATTGTAAAAGTAAATAGGTGTTACAATGACCCCCTCTGCCATCCAGCAGACAGGAAGCCCTCATTGACTCCATTGTTTATTGTTATGGAACTATCATCTGGCTTTGGTTTTCCACACAAAGGCACACATAAATATTGTCATTCGCTGGCACAGACCCATGCACACACGCAGAAATCTACTCGAATACAGTGGCACACCAATAAAAGGTTTAAGTATGACATCCTTGTTCATGCACACAAACACAAATAGGCACACACACACACTGTTTATATTACTTTGGTCAGTGCCTCACTGTGGGACAAATACAGGAACAGGATATTTACTGTTTCCTTGCTTGGTTTATTAGTTCACAATACTATCTGGAAACAACATATGCCCTGTTTTGAAATTCAGCTGAAGCATTTTTGCGTTTCTTCAGTCACAGTTAACTTTTTTGTCAGAACTGCTGCTACTGGCAAGAGTGATAATTTAACCAAGTGTCATGTGTCATATGGCATTTTTCTCTTTTTTTGCCTGATTTTGAAGTTTTGTTTGTAAAGAGCGATTAAAAAGGCAGTATACCTAGGTAGGGTAATTTTATGACATTTCTAGGTTACTGCTTTGTCCTATGAATTATTCACCCACCATGTCTTTGCCTTACTGCCTCTAATTTCACCACTTGATAGTCAGTCACATAAATCTACCTGTTAACAATGAAATGTTTGCAATTAAAGTTGATGCTCATTAAAAGGCGTCAATGGACATCACTGGATCCTTAATTGCCTGGGATTCCACTGAGCGGTGCATTTTAATTACGCATTAACCTCTAACACAAAACTGCATACAGGCACATTATTGTGTATTGCATATTAATTACCCATTATCCATTGTGCTGTGCATTAAGAGCTGCATGGCATCGGAAAGACAGCTTGCCCAAGGGCGATACACAGACAGACACACACCCACACACACACATAAACACACATGCAGGGATATAAACTTATTGAAAATGCATTTGCAATGAAAGATTAGACAGTTTTTCAATCAGCCAGCAGTGACTACAGCAAATACTTGAATGTCTGTGTTTCTTTTAGGGCTGTAATCAACCAAAGAAATTCTTGGTCGACTTTACCCTGAAATTTTTTACCAAAAAGCGACTAATGGGGAGGGGGGTTCCGACTCTTACGGCAAACGGGAGATGATGCAGCTCGGCGAAGCAAGATTGGCAGGGTGAAAATATACTGATATCAGCACAGAAAGGCAATTAACACAAAAGGGTAAAACATAAATATAAATATTCATTAAACCACCGCAAGTTCATGAACATGAAATTCACCATCGACTGCAAATTGACGCAGAAAAAAGTCGACCAATCAGAATTTTGGTCGACTCGGCATGTACCGACCAATAAGTCGACCAGTCGACTAGAACTTTACAGCTCTAGTATTTTTGGATTTGCCACTAGTTTTGAGGTATTTCATCAGTATGAGAAGGTGCTTAGAGAGTGTTTCGCTCTGTTTAGAGATTTTAACCCAAAGTTGTCATTGTCCTTAAAGTGATAAAGCACAGGACACCAGAATCACAGGTCTACCTCTTCTGCTTCCTCAATGCCATAAAACAATGTTAACTTACATACTGGGACAGCAGTGTTAGCCAGAGGGGGGTTGATATGAAAGTTCATTGGCTTTGTCACAGCGTTAATAGACTCACAATATAAGAAAGGCTAGACTTCACATTGAACCTCTTTTTTAATGAAGTATTTGTCAGTACATGTTTGTATCTGCTGTTCATACATGTCCTGTGTTCAGTTTACCCGTTTTTTTAATTTGGTTTATTCACACAGAAACCAGCATAGATTAAGTATTAATGAGATACCACTTATACTGTTGTTTATGAGTAAACTTGAGTTGATTGTAATGATTTTTTTCACCAATTTGCGCATTTCATTTGCAGATTTACACAGAAATTCTCATTAACATGACATGAATTTCCACACCACATTCGGGGAATGTCTATTTCTTTATGTTATTTTGCTGACTGTATTTCCACCTTTATTTTAAACATATTTTTCCGCACATAATGGTCATCATACACACTAACTTCTTTAATCTAAAATCAGTTATAGACAGGTGATCTTTTACAGAGCAGGACAGACACCCTTACACCACACTAAGTAAATAGAAAATTAATAAATACCATTAAAATCAAGCTGGCCAAATATCTGAACAGTCTCCTAACTAATATGCTCAAAGAAGTTTTGATTTATCAGAGCTTTTTATCTCTCATTTTATGGCTATCTTTCCTCACTTCACTTCATGGGGAGCATGTGTGCCTTTGTGTCTGTACATGCGAAATGAGCTGCCACCCCGGATTTTATTGATTTGGCCATGAAGGGTTTGAGGATAAAGTCAAGGAGAGCTAGACAACAGACCGGGGCAATAAATCTGTATGCAACCATAAATGTGTTTGCAGCAACTGTGCTGGAGCAGAAAAGAGATCAGATGGGTCCCACTGCCCCCACTGTAGTGTTCGTCTACTCTGTCTTACACACACGCGCGCGCACACACATGCATGCACGCACACACTTAAACGCTGATGTTTGTGTGTGTATGTAGCAGAGGTGAGACTCAGAGCAATCCAGGGCAGAGGGAGAATTTTTCAGGCCTAATGTTCCATGACAATGGACCAAGGTCCGTCAAGGGGAATCAGAGCCACTGCTACCTAACACACACACACACACACACACACACACACACACACACACACACACACACACTTGCCCTCCATTCTTCCTTTGTCTCATCCTCTTGCTTCTCTTCTCCCCCAATTCCCATTTAAACTTGTCTTTTACTCTCCTCTCTTCTTCTTTTACTCTCATTATTCTCTCTTACCATCGTCTTTCCATTTGACTGATTTAGCTGTATATTCTTGTCTCTGTTCCTTCTCCTCTTTTTTTATAAATCATTTGTCACATTTTTCTGAAGTTAGATTCCTAATTACAGCATGAATGGACAACAGTCTGTCTGGGCAACAGACAGGGAGGAAAAATGTGAAATTCTTGAGAAGAAAAAAGGGTGAAAAATATCCCGTCTTTTGTTCTTTTCTCCTTCCTCTGGTATCTCATACTCTACCAAACAGTAAATAAGGGGAAAATTGTTGTTTACTGCACAGTATCTATGGAACTGTGCTCACAAAAGGCTGATATATTTACAGTATTTTATCCTCTCTGCATGCATCATCAGGCGGTAAATTGATGCAGTGATAAGTCTGTTATAGGATAGCTTGGGCTGTAGTTATGGCAACAGAGGTTGTTGATGTATTTCTGCATGTTAACATTCTGAATGTGTCACCCTGGTGTCTACCTGCCCCAGATGGATCAGCTGTCGGACTGCATGTGAAGATGTCTGTTTCGGTGTTGAATGCATGGTTTAGTATGTTCGTATAGCACTCATGCAGGGGTGTTTGGGATGAGTGTTATGTAGAGTATGACCAACTTCTTATTTGGACCAGGATGGGAAGCCTTGCTCAAGAATGGAGAGAATATTTCGATTGAGACATAAAAGATAAATATGAGCGCGTAGCTGCACAAGGTTCAGATTGAAATAAATAAAATAATACGAAGTCACTTGTGTATGTCTGAAAATCAGTGCTGCAGTTATCTCTCTGATGAGGATGTTCACAACAACTGCAACCGCCCACTGAACTGATTCTGTTGTTTAGATACTGACCTCCTTTTTTTTTTAAACCCTTCCCTGAACGGTCTCTATTATTACACATTCTTCTCTATTTATCGTCTCATCTCTCTTTTTTTCCCCTTCATTTTCTTTCAAACAATCGATGGCAACCCCCTCCCCTCCTACACATCCTTCAGTCTGCAAAATAGGGTTTTATCGCTCGCTGCTGGAATCTACAAGCTGCAGTAAATGTCCACCCCACAGCATGGCCAGGCAGACGGGAGCCACCGCTTGCAGTTGTGAGGATGGGTTCTATAAGATTGACTCGGACCCGCCAAACATGGCCTGCACATGTGAGGATACTCCATTTTTTTATTTACCCTAATTTTAAGCTACAAACTACATTCTTCTTTTTGCTTCGACTAAATCCTCTCTTTTTCCCTCAGGTCCCCCTTCAGCTCCACGCAATGCCATCTCCAATGTCAACGAGACCAGCGTCTTTCTTGAGTGGTCTGTTCCACTGGAAACAGGTGGTAGGAAGGATGTCCGCTACAACATCTTGTGTAGACGTGTCCTACCAGACGGAAGAGGCTTGGAAGAGTGCGGTCCTAACGTGCGTTTCTTGCCCCGCCGTGTCGGCCTGTCGAACACCTCCGTGATGGTTGCTGACCTGCAGTCGCACACCAACTACAGTTTTCTACTCGAGGCTATCAATGGAGTTTCGGAGCTGGCGAAGGATCACGCAAGGCAGTATGTGTCACTTAATGTGACAACCAATCAGGCAGGTATGTTGTGCGAGATAATCAATCAATCAATCAATCAATCAATCTAGCTTTATTTTTAATGCACTTTTCATACATAGAATGTAGCACAAAGTGATGTCCATTCAAGAAGGATATTAAAAACAATGAAATAAAATAAACAGAAATAAAAATACCAAACCCCACCCACCCTCCCATTCAACACATAGAGCACTCACAAGCTCACACAAAAGATCAGGTGAGGACTCTTCAACCTGCCACAGATGACTGAGGAAACGCTATGTTGAGTTAAAAAAAAATAGATACATTATAATATAATATAATAAAGGTGATAAAGCGTTAAAATAAAAAATAAACAGTCTTAAAATCAAACAATAACAGAAAGTGAATTAAAAAAGAGGTAATAAAACACAAAATAAGAACTCTAGGACTAAAGGGTGAAAGATAAAAACAAAATTCAACTATAAGCCAGAGTAAAAAGGTAGGTCTTGGGTTTACTTTTAAAATTATGAACAGTAGGTGTCGCTCTGAGGCCTGCGGGTAGGCTGTTTCACAGATGGGGACGGTGATGTTGGAATGATGATTCACCATATGTTTTAGTTTTTACTTTGGGAACAATTAACAGATCACCACCTGAAGACCTGAGGATAACTGAGTAGCTAGTCGAGAAAGGTTTATGTTTTTGTCTTCAGCGCTATTTGTCTTAAAAACATCTTCAAAGCCTTAAAATTGACTTAAAAAGAGTGCAAAAATCCTTTAACATAAATGTTCTCCAACACGACTTCTTTTACTTCTTATTACAGCGTCCTCGGACCAACCTGTGTGCTTAATTCATGGCACAATTATCTGGGTTTGACAAAGACACCAGATGATCAAATTATCACAGTATTTGTCCAACAAAGCTGTTGCTGTGTTAATTTTCGCTCACACACCATCTGTGCAGTAGATGAGAGAACTTTGGTGGTAGAAACTTATTTTGCTCATGCTTTTGTTTTTAGATTTGCTGTTGGAAAAGGAGCTCGGTGCCATCAGTTAGAATGACTAAAACTGGTTGCTTTGTTGAGTAAGAGGAGGTGTCTATGTGCACGGCAACTGTAATCAATCAAGCTAGTGACACACAAGTTAATTTATAGATTTAAAGTTATCAATAAAAGTGAACTGATCAGTTCTTGAAGTGGTTTGCTCTATACTGGTATAATTATTAGAGATGCACAGATCCATTTTTTTCTGATCCAGTCCGATACCGATACCTGGGCTGAGCGTATCGGTCGATATCCAATACTGATCCAATATTACTGTTGAATGAATGAACTGTAAACCTTACCCTGTAAGTGAAGGCATCAGGCTTGACATTAGCCTTGTTAAAAAAAAGATAACAAATTAATACAGATATAAATTTACTTAATATTATCTATTAACAAATAACAAATTGCACATTAACACACAGCAAAAAGAAGTAAGACTTCCAGGGAAACATTTAGTGAAAAAGTATAGACAGACAGAGAATATAGGGTGAACAGAATCGCTGTGTTACTGTGTATGATATTAATTAAAAGGAAAAAAAAGACTGGAACAGAACGCTGGATCGGCGTCATTCATCAGATATCCGATCCAGTTAATTTGTCAATATCCGAGCCGATATCCGATCCAAATATCGAATTGGTGCATCCCTAATAATTATTGCTACAGTTTTGGTTATTAATTATAAAATCATTAGAGTAAGCATCAAAAGAAGATGAGCAAAATAACAAACAAACAAACAAACAAACAAAAAACACCACAACAATCATGGAAAGAATCAAACCACTACATAGAGCTGCAAGCTTTGTTGTCTGTCTTCTAAAAGGATAATTAAATTATTATCTTCCTTTTTCAACTAGTTTTCTATATTTATGGTAGCATGTGCCTGAGAAGTGTCTTTTTATTTGCATGTAATGAAATGGATAGGACACAGTTTAATGTAATGAGAAACATAAAAGGCCAATACTCTGCTTTTCAAGGCCACCATTCCTGAGGAAAGCTATCAAGCCAAGGACATCGTAAGAGAGCGGCTGTTCATCTTTGATCTATAGTCAGTTCACATAGTAAGAATAGTAAATGACAAATAGACTGCATTTTAAATAATCAAAAACATTTATACATAGTGATGCACTTTTGGCTGAAGCTGATTACTAACATCTTTTCTTTGGGGTTAGTACAAACATAGCTCAGCGTGACTTTAAGAGCCAGAGTTGAACTACATCAATTCTGAATACATCTTAAAGGTGGATAACCTGCTTTACCTTGACGCTATATGAGGGCCACAGTGGCAGAAGGATGAATATGATATGTAAGGGGAATCAGAGTGTTTGACAGGCAGAGAGGAGCGGCGGGAGACGGTTGTCTGACAGCAGAGAGTGCTGACAGCCCTCTAACTGTGTTGTCACGGTGACTGTCAGCAGTCTGACTGGATTACAACATACCACAGAAGTCACAGTCAGTGTGTTGAAGTTCTGGCTGGATTAAAGTTAGACAGTCACCAGACCAAGTGGAGATTAGGAATAAATCTAGATTATCCATAGTTGACTGAATGTGCTCCACTCTGGCATGAATATAGTGCAGGAGAGGTTTTAGGTTCATCAATCAAATCAAGTCGGTGCATCTGTTTTATTCACTCTGACTTTTATAGATGTTTATGCAGACCGTACTGTTCTACAGGTGACTCATAAACATAGTTATAAGCTTGCACTGTACACTTTAATCAGAGCATGCAAAGATAAAAAAACATGACTTTAAAATTGAAAAAGAAGAGGCAAAAAACACATTTAAAGCCAAACTGAAGTGTCTTTTAGTGAAACCCAGGCTACAGCCATGTTGGAAATTCTCATTTTGAAGATAAAGACTTTGAAAAACCTTCAAATCCCCAGACTGACTTCTCCAAAAACTGGTAATAGGCAGGTAGAATGAGACTGTCTTGACCTTTTTCTTAAAAAAAGACCCAGAAATTAGAGGTGCAGCAGTTGAATTAGTACACATAGTAGACAGTGAGCAGTCCCGACCTCACTCAATAATAAGCTCTCTCGTTGTGGTGTGAGATTGTATTTAAATCTGTGACCAAATCTTTGTCTCTAAATTGTAAAGAAGCCACGTCTCCAGGTTTATACAGTATATGCTGTGTTAACATTGTGGCGTTGCTCAATGGCAGACATAACACACAGCGGGAGTGTTAAAATAGGGAATACATACTTTAATTGAATGATATAAACAAATCAAAATAAATCTAATCTGTTTGATTTAATCAAATAGGTGTAATTGAAAAAGGTTTGGGACTTTTGGATTTCTGTTTAGCAATCTAAAATTCTTAAGAAAGAGATAAAAAAACAAAAGATAAATACTGGGGTTTTATTGGGGAAATTTGTTGCCTTGTAAATCTAAATCTAAATATTGATTGTAGGAATATTTTAACACAAAATAAAACTGATTTGTTCTTTTATTAATTTATCTCTATATTTGTGTGTTTTGTTGTAGTTATGTAGCTCAAGCTCATAAAATTATACGCCATGCTATGAGATCAGTGCACCCCCATATGACATCTGTTCCATTTAGACCTTTTAATCTCATGTAGCGGACAAACTGCGTCCATTTTTGGAGGACTAAAACTTAGTTTTGGCGTAATGTTATCCACCCATTAAGCTCTGAGAAAGAAGATCTCTCTCTCTGTCTTTTTCTCTCTCCCTCTCTCTGCTATCTTTCTTTCTCTCTCTGTCATACTTTTACATTCCAGCATTTATTCCATTCAAGTATTGAGTTGGTGTTATAGGGTTTCTGGTTACAGGCTTTTAAGATGTGGCAGATAACACTTCTGTCTGTGCAACCATCCACTCAGGATACAGTTACTGTGTTGGAGCAATGATTTATTCCCCGTGGAGTTCTGCTGAGGCTATTGAAACCTTAATAGTGTTTAGCATTTGCTGTAGAGGCTTACACACAAACACACACTCTCACTCTCTCTCACACACACACATAGATACACACTTAGGATGTTGCCTTTGGGGGCATTTTGCCTGTAGAAAAGCTGTTCAGCGTCAGAGACTTTCTAACTGTCCCTGTGAGAAATGAGCTAACAGTTCAGGTTACAACAGCCGGGTTAGAAGATTGATTTAAATTCACACTAGCTTAACGTCTACACTAAAATGTAAATCTTAAAAAAAATGAAGTTGGAAAATTTGCAAAAACTCAAAAAACAAAACCACACATAGCAAGAAAGTGGGTCCTGTGATTGCATCGACAATTTTAAGATTTTAATAGTGTTTCAGTTTTTTATGGTGGGGAAATGAAAATATGTGACTGTTTCCTTCAGTTTTTAATTTATATGACTACACAACAACTCTACTGAGAGCTTTTGTAATTAAGTGAAATTTTCATCTTTAAACTACATATGGCTCTCTTTATTTGTGTGAAGTTTTTTCAGGAGTAGAGCTGCTCGGGAACCAAGTACAACAAAAATTAATGAATGTTGAATCTGTCTTTCATATCTTTGTGTGTGCAGCACCCTCCCCAGTGAGTGTGGTGAGAAAAGGTCACACAGAGAAGAGCAGCATCGCCTTGTCTTGGGCCGAGCCTGATCGTCCCAACGGTATCATCCTGGAGTATGAGATCAAGTATTTTGAAAAGGTAAAAAAAACCTGCATATACTCATGCACAATATTGCGTATACTTTATAAAGTACTTTCCAAACATTTTCTGTGATTTTTGAACATTACACACAGTCAGATCATTATTATTATTTATTTATTTTTTTTAAATTTGATCTGAAGTTGCCGTAAATCCTTTATTCAACAATGGAAAAGCTACTTAGAGCACTTTTCTTACAACAACTTCTAAGACTTCCATACACATTTTACCTTTATAAACACATCCATACAGGGATGACAGAGGCCAGGATGCAATGTACCAGGTTACCTTATTGGAGTTTAATCTAATTGTTTGTATACAACCATGTATTGATGGAAAGGTATATGGGAAAATATGGGTCACGGTGCCGCCCAAAAGGACACTTAGACATAAGGAGTGAGGTTCAACAATAAAACTCTTCAGTTATTGATTGGAAGATGAAATGCTCTACTACTGAGCTGCAGCCATCCTATGTTTCATGAATTTGTTAAGTTTGTTGATACTTAAAGTGAAGAGAAGTTGGCTTGATACACACTATACAAGTTTTCCTTTTAAAAATCTGGATTTCTTTATTTGTATCTTTTTTTTTTTAAGTGAGACTTTCAGACAGAAACTTGATTCTTCGGAGCAGATCTTTGTTCCTTCTTTTCTCTCCTGTAATCCCCGATGTCTCCTTTTCTGGGAAGGTCAGATTTAAGGTATACAGATGCAGAGCAGTATTTGTGGTCAGTGGTTCACTAATGGCTTCTGGCTAATGGACAGGGCATTTAGCTTTGTTTTAGCCTGATGTGGTTACAGCTGAGAAACTGATACTTACACAAAAATGCACTTCCACACTACCACAGTCAATACAGGCGGCTCAGCCATAAAATCTGCAAAATAATGGAGAAGAAATTCAAGGCAAGTACACAAACAAATGCTGGCTGGATAAGTACTAGTAGTAAGTTATAATGCTGCAATACTGTTTGTATGCCCTTAAAAAACTTTACACAAACCCTGACTGGTTTTCTCCCTCCACAGGAACAAGACTCCAGCTACACCATTATCAAGTCGAAGGAAACGGAGATGGTGGTGGAAGGCCTGAAGCCCTCCTCAGCCTACATCTTCCAGGTGAAATACAGCTGAAATTAGTATAGAACTGAAAATGCAGATATGCATATATGACGACTTGCCCTCCCTCTACTTTGTTGTGAAATTCATAAGTCATTAAAAAGTACTTTCTTGATTGAAGTCATGCATAACCTATCGCTGATATCAGGCAGAAACCTCTCAAAAATAACAACTGTGTCCAAATATTAGAAATCTCACTTACTGACGAGAAGGATGACCAAGAGCACTGGATGATGTGAAAGAATCAAAATGATGAAATATGTAGATGAGAGGTTTCTGCGGTACATATCAAACATGTTATCATCAATTGACCTGTTTGGATTCAATCCATTACAGGTGCGAGCCAGGACCTCGGCGGGCTATGGTGCATTCAGCCGACGTTTTGAGTTCCAGACCAGCCCTTACAGTAAGTGAACTCATGTGAGAGAGAGTGTGGGCAAGATCACTATCGTATCAAAAGTGACAGACAGAATGTGAATCACACCTGCTGTATGTGGTTCTGTGTTTATATGGTTATGTGTTTAAGTCCCTAATGAAACTCTGTCTTTTGGCAGTAACCGCCACTGGTGAGCGAACCCAAGCCTTGATAGTAGCTGTCACGATCACACTGGCTCTGGTCTTACTGGCAGTTGTCGCTGGATTCCTGCTAAGTGGTCGGTAAGAAGACAAAAACACAGACAAAAAATACATTCACATGATGGCACACTTGTTACGTAAATCTCTGAACGTGAGGATATCCTCTTATCCTTCTCTAACTATTTAGTCTTTATAGTATGTGACATGCTGAATGAAAATGAAGCGACTGGTCCGTTTAAAGGCCTGGTACCAGACCCGGCCTATATTTGAGGATTTACAGTATCTAAACTAGTTTGAGTCTTTGGTACAGTGGCACAGTGTCGCTGTTACATGTTCCCTATACAAACAACATGTATGTTGAATCTGCTTGTATCTTGGCTCAGTATGACCATCACTTAACTTTGTCTTGTCACTTGAACAACCATTACTCTTATATCCCAATGTGATCTTCACACCTGCTTATGCATTGCTTACATAGATGCGAAAGCTTTAAACAGTTTTTATACCATATGTTTCTATTCAACACCCTAATGTTCGTTTTATAGTGATAAAAACCTAGAGAACTATTAAATGAGTTTTATATTGTTTTTGTGGTCTCACCATTAGCAGCAATATTCTGTGACTGGGGTTATGTATTTGCTATTTGTGTCAGATTAATTTTACTTCAGCATAATTAGAAAAGCTAGGGGCGATTTTACAGAGATCATAAAGGTTGAATTTGGATTTACATCCATAATGTGGTGATCTGTTCATCCATGAAATATACATGCATGTGTATTACAAACATGCATTTAATTGGTTTTTCCTTTATCCTTTTCCTTTATTTCCTTTTTTTTTTCATGATAGAGCTCACCTTTATCGATGAAGGATTTACAGAGACAATGAATATGTAACTTAGCGAAATGATTACATGAATAGATAATGGACTAGCAATTTTCAAGGAATTAAAAGTAAATTAAAAAGACACAGGGGACTAGACCAGATTTCAGGAGTGCTCATAATTTTGTTTTTGTGTTGGGGTGGACACATGGAGGAATGCCAGAATTTTATGGTGATGGATTTGAAACAAGCAAGTGCAACCACTGTACCCCTCTCCTATCCCCCCTAGTGAGTGACCATACAGTCTGTGCACACATGCATAGACATTCAGCACACATGCTCAGACACTAACGCACATAACCAATAAATCATGCATTCATTCATGCATAAACTGATTGACACTCACACACAAACGCGCACATTTAAGTTAGGGGGCAGGCTTGGCACTGAGAGTGCTGACTCCATAGATTCAGTAAACACCCTCAAGCATTCACATATATGGACCACCCCCCCTCAGACTACCCAGCTGCCCATACCAATCTCTCAAGCCAGTTATCCTACAGACAACAGATAGATGGATGATGGAAAATTCTGGACCCTTATTTATGAGTGTTTGTGCGTTGTTGTCCATGCATTTCTTATGTTTAAGAACAAAATGATCTAATACTAGTAAATGCCTGCACATGTGCATTAACCAAAAACTAAGGCAGGACATGATGTGTTTGTGTGTCCTCTCTTTCTCAGACGATGTGGCTACAGCAAAGCAAAGCAAGATCCTGAAGAGGAGAAGATGCACTTCCACAATGGTCACAGTAAGTTACCAAACTTTAATGTTATCTGTGTGCCTGTGGACCTGTATGTGTGTGTGTGTAATTTCATCTAAACTTTACTCTATGTGGAGTACAGGGTTCAGTCAGTGCATATCTGTGTGTGTTTACAAGGTGGACAATTGTGTATGTGTGTTACAAGTACAGTTAAGCATGTTTCGTTCCAAGAGTAGTTCTTTTAATGGCACAAGCCCGCTCCATTGCAGCCATGTTGGAAGATGACACACAAAGCTGTGATGATATGTGGGCACCGACAGCTTAATAGACCCAGCACATTTTTGGCATTATATTCTGCGAACCATCTGTTGGCATCCGAGCTGTTTGTGATGGGGCCATTAGCGCTGAACTAGTGCCAGTATGTGTGGTTGAATGTCATATTGATGCATACAGTAAAGGAACATTTGCTTAATGACTAGTAAGATTCATCATGCCCACAGAAAGTGTCTGAAAGACTACCTTCGTCCTGGAATTGTATTTGCATAAATACATTTATCAAATGTCACTGTTTTATTGTGAAATACCAAAAAAAGGTAGAGATCACGAAGGCTTCAGCATTACTATACTGAGAACACAGGATTTCATTTGAATCCTGATGTTGGTTCACAGTATGACTTTTTTCTCATTAATTCTCTGGCAATTTTGAGAAAATTAGATTGATCTCAAAATGCAAATGAGAAGGGTTGCAGGATCTTGATAAATAATGCAACCCCTTTTTGCGCACTTTTTCTCATTACCTTGCAATAAAACTAAAGAAATACCTGTAAGTCAGATGTCCTTGCCCAGGAAAGCCGTTATCACAGCTGCTTGCTGTTCCAGGTAGCGTTGCCACATCAATAATGCTTCAGGAGTTTCTGTTTAGACTCAAACACAGCGGTGTGGTAGTGATGCTCCGGTCTAAGATGCCAATCGCCTCACTCGCCAAAGTAAATGGCTGATGCCAGGCTCACTCAGACTTGCTTAGGTGGCCAAATATAGAGTGTGGGCAAAACTCCTGATGCCTTGTGCTAGTCCAGCTTTCTTCACTGCAACACACATATTCCGTGAATTATCTGCCTCTAGGGCGACTCTGTGATTTGACTATTCAAGTTCCCACTATGAAACAGCCAACATCAGAACCTTAGTGATGTTTTCCCCAGTGTGTTTAGAAAAGAAGTCAGGTTTGAAGAAAGAACCTTCATTTCCCACTTACTGGTTATAAGATGATCAGGTAACTCTGGGACCCCCTGGACTATACCATACCTCTGATATTAAACAGGATGGTGCATCCACAACTACATCAATTCAAGTCCTCAATGTATCCTAACATCCCTAGTGAGTTGTGCATTAATGTCAATGATGGTAATACTTTTGTGTTTGTGTTTTTGCAGTTAAGTTCCCGGGAGTGCGCACCTACATTGACCCCCTCACCTATGAGGATCCCAACCAGGCAGTGCATGAGTTCGCACAGGAGATTGATGTTTCATTCATCTCTATCGAGAGGATCATTGGAGCTGGTGAGTCAAATTTGGAGTTCGTGCAGGTGCTGGTTTATTATAACACACTTAGCATACAAACACAACACTATGAGTTCATACTGGTGTAATCAAGTTGTGAGGAACTCAACTATTTTCTCATAAATTGTACAGTAATGCTTTCAACTGTATAAAGGCACAGGTCCATATAGTAGATGAAGTCACATGTTTTGCTCGAAAATGGAAATTTGCATGTTTGTCAGCAGAGGACCAACACCGTTTATATTTGTAATAGTTATTGAATTGTAAGATTTGTTGCTCTCACAGGGTTTCAAGTGGATTAGCCCCACAGTTTATCATGGTTTGTTGAACAACGCAAGAAATAAACAAACTGGTGGATGTTTTTAAGTATTAAAGCTCCTGAATTAAAACTTAAGTTAGTGCCAGTTACACTTTAAGTGATCTTTTAAATTTTGGTGAGTGTGAAATGCTGGCATGGCCATTTGATGAAAGTCTTCTTTTATAGGTGAGTTTGGTGAGGTGTGCAGTGGACCTCTGAGGCTGCCAGGGAAAAGAGAGATGCAAGTTGCTATTAAGACCTTGAAAGCGGGATACACTGAGCAGCAGCGGCGTGACTTCCTTTGGGAGGCATCAATCATGGGCCAGTTTAACCATCCGAACATCATCCGTCTGGAAGGCGTGGTTACCAAGAGTAAGTCATCAGCATGTCTCGCTCTGTGTGTCTGCACTGCTCAGAAAAACGAAGAGAACACTCAAATCGCATATCCTGATGAGTAAAATCTTCCTGTTAAAAAAAATGAACAAAATAACTTAAGAACCATCGATGGAAATCAAAACTATGAACCCACTGAGGACTGGATTCAGAACAATGCTCAAAATCAAAGTGAAGAAATTAGATCTCAGGCTGATCCAACTTCAGTGAATTTCCTCAAGACAACTCATAATGAAGCTCAGTATTGTGTATGGCCTCTATGTGCCTGTATGCTCCTCTACAATGTCTGGGCATGGTCCTGATGAGGCAACAAATGGGCTCCTGGGGGATCTTCTCCTAGACCTGGTTCAGGGCATCAGTCAGCTCCGGAACAGTCTGTGGTGCCACATGGCAGCGGTAGATGAAATGTTACATGAGGTCCAAGTGGTGCTGAATTAGATTCAGGTCTGGGGAACAGGGGGGCCAGCCAATCGCATTAAACCTTCAACATCTAGTACATTACAGCAGCTAGGGAACGTCTGGCCAGCTTGTTGAGGTCTGTGCAGCCCTCCAAGGATATGCCTCCCCAGGCCATCAGTAATCCACCTTCAAACTGGTTATGCTGGATGATGTTCATGGTCATGTCTGTGATGTTCCAGGCAGAGGAACATTCTCCATAGCATCACCAAACCCTCACGCAGTCACGTGTGAACAGAGTACCAATGGTGAAACTGCCAATTCTGGTGTTTTAGGGTAGGTGCCAATCAGGCCTTTTGGCCACAGGCCATGTGGGTGTGACACCTTGGAGGAGCTGCACTTGCTGAGCAACTTTTGCAAGCTTCAGATACCACTATTGTCTTGATAATTTCCTCTCCTATCCACCTGTTGTCTGTCCCATATTAACAGCATTTGTGATGGATGTACTTTATTATCAAGCTTCATTGCTAATCTGGATGATTTTTGATCTAATGGTGCTTTTTTTTTTTCAGACTTATACTGCATTTTATTTATGTTATAAAAAGTATTCAACAGATAAATTATGTTATGAAATGGTCAGTTATGGAAAAAATGAAACCAATCCATGCAAAAAATTCTGTCATCCATCATTCCCTAATAGCTGAAACAGAAGGGTATAAAGATTGTAACTAGCATCATGTCAGTCATGTCAGTATAAAGGCTGTAACGGAATCAATCAAGTAGTTAACTAATTGCTTAACATGTCGTCTCTTGTTAGAATTTGTTATTTATGATTATTGTAATGTATTATATTTTTGTACTGAAGTATGTATGTTTATTTATTTATTATGTTTTTTTCAGGCAAACCAGTGATGATTATCACTGAATATATGGAAAATGGATCACTGGACACTTTCCTGAAGGTAGGACAGAGAAGGACAAGAATACTGTAGAATGGGTCATGGGAAATCGTTAGAGCATAAAGCAAAGTATAATGCATATAAGAGTTCATAACACTTTGATATATAGTGAGAAGAAGATGGAGGACGAAATGTTAATGATTTGATGAATAAATAAATAAAACACTCAGCTTTGTATCAGTGTACTTAAGTAGCTAAGTGATTGACATGGGCAATGTTTGAGAGCCTTTATTTTCTGGTATTATATGAGAGAAGGCTATAATTATTATTATTACTCAGTGTCTCATTTTACTTATTTGAGCAGAAGAAAGAAAAGAATACAATTCAGTTATGAAAATGTAGATAGGATATTTCATTTTTATCCGTCATGTCTCGTGTTGCCTACCTGGTAGATCTTTCAAACCTGTCTAAACATATTCAAAATCCTTCACCAAACTGTGAGGGGTATTACCTTGCTGGAATTAACATGAATTAACATGAGCATTCATGGCTGGAATTATGTCTGCACCTCCCAGCTAATATGGACCTTATTGTGTGAAAATGTAAAAATGGAGGGACTGACGAATCTGAATTTAGAGGTCCCTCTCCAGAATACTGTCGTGTATTTACTGTTTATAATGGCAAGATTCTGGGTTGGCAGACAATGCTAAATCCCACATAAAAAAGGGATAAATACCTGCAGCACTAACAAAACAGTAAGATCATAATCCAGAACAGAAATTACTTATGTATCAGGAAAATGACACCAAGGATGTGTTTGAGACGTACCTTTCCACTACCAAGATATTGCCACCTAGACTGTGTGAAATGAGATAATGCCGAGAGACAAACGACAGAGGAAGGTCGTTGGAGATGTTCTTTATGGGCACTGGAAACTGCTGACACGACTTGTTTCTTGCCTCTGGGAGTAATCCCGGATGGCAAAGGCAAGACAGTGGGGCTGGGGGCCCTGCAGGCAGAGCAGTAAAAAAACTCTGTGAAGTAATTACATGGATGGCTGGTGTACTGAGGTCAGGATAAATGACATGAGACATGAAAGAGGCAGGGGTGAGACCGGTTGCTGGATTTAGTGTCACAGCTATGGGCAATGTACCATAAGGTTCATACCTCACATCTGAGGCTTGACATCTCATTTCACTTGTAAATGTGTTGCTCATGTTGTGGAAAGACAGTTTGTTCATTAGCAACAAATTAGTTCAAAGTTAGAGCTGTCAAAAAAGGTTTCCATGGAGAGGGGTAGATTGCTGCATGACTAAGGCACTCATAAATGACCCTTTTTTGAGGACTTATTTTAATGCCACATGTTTAATATCACCATGTTAAAATTTTCTACTGTGTTTAAAGCACACTCTTATGCGACAATGAACCATAAAAACTAAAAGAAATGGTGGCAGCTCAGTGCCGCACTTACCTCGGTTAAAAAGAAATTTGATTGTAAGTGTATGTAATCAACAAGTTCTCAAAAGAGTATTTTAATGTCAAACCTCTAGGGGACTATTTTCACTTAAAACAAGTGCTGATTTTACCCAGATTTATGAGCCGTGCAGCAAAGCGCTGTGCAGAAGCATTATCAGTACTTAAAAAACTGAAAGGGTATGCAAGGTTGTCAGCATTAGCAGTTTAAGTTGCTGTCAAAGTAATTGTTTTATTTTCACAGCTTTTAGAAATAACATTCTGATTTGGCGGAAGAACTATTTTTGATAATTGTTCATAAGTAGTTCAGTGAAGATCAACACGGATGTTTTGTGTCTTTTTGTCTCTTTCAGAAAAATGATGGTCAATTTACTGTCATCCAGCTGGTTGGTATGCTGCGTGGCATCGCATCTGGGATGAGGTACAAACAAAGGATTGTGTTGCTGTGCAGAAATACAAAAGCACAGTGCTTAGGCTTAAACCTCTTCTCTCTGTTTTTGGTCATTGTAGATATCTGTCCGATATGGGCTACGTCCATCGGGATCTTGCAGCTCGTAATATCTTAGTCAACAGTAACCTTGTGTGTAAAGTGTCTGATTTCGGCTTGTCCCGAGTCTTGGAGGATGATCCGGAGGCTGCGTACACCACACGGGTAAGACTGTGCATGTGTGTTTGACAGTGGTGCAGCTGCCTTTCATTTTCAGCCTAAAGGTCTTAGCACACTCCAGAGTCCATCGATATCCTGAAACATCCAGAAATTATTAATTCTGTGGCTGTTTTATTAGCCCTCTTTTCCTACTGTTGTTGTTCTTTTTTAATGAGTAAAAGAACAATAACATCACCCTCACTGCTCGAGAAAAGTGTTAACTCTTCTGTATGCACAACACACTTGCACACACAACAGAGGGCACTGGGTTTTCACCCAAACTGAGCTGTTAGTCCTGGTTTGAGTGGCATCCTGTCAACCAGAAAGTAGGCTGCTTCCTTTAGAGGATGACCAATTATGACTCTGCTCAGTCATCCCTAACTTCATGCTACCAGCTCTAGAATTCGTGTCTCTCTCTCCTCCTGTGAAGGAGCTTTAAGAATAAATCTGAAGATATCAGATTTATCTCACTGCTGTTTTTATCACTGTTGCATCAAGGCATCGAGATAATTCCAACACATCTCAGAAAACAGCTTCCCCTGTGAGACATAGAAGTCATCTTGAATAAAAGAGAAGTTCACACAATCAATTTAATTAATAATTCATAATCTTATTAACAATTGCCCGGTCAAACGGTGTTTTAGTTCGTTTCACGACTGCATTCAGAAATTGTTCTTCTCATCAGTCAAGTACACTCAAACACAAGGTTGAGAGGCTGACAGTGATGCAGGTGGAGGCTCCTCTTGTGTCCTGGATTATTGACTCCAGTAGACCACAATCGGTACGCTTACAACACTGAGTCAGACAGAGTGGTCAGCAACACCGGAGCCCAGCAGGGGACAGTCTTATCTCCTTTCCTTTTAACTCTCTACACCACAGACTTCAACTACACCACAGATTCCTGCCACATTCAGAAATTGAAAAACTATTGTAGTTGGATGCACCAGACTGTGGTGGATAACCATCACCAGCTCAACATGATGAAGTCTAAGGAGCTGATAGTGGATCTGAGAAGAAGAACAAAGGCACCAGTGACCCCTGTTTCCATCAGGAGGTTCGTGTGGACATTGTTGAGGACTACAAGTACCGTGGAGTGTACTTGACCAACAAACTGGACTGGTCTAAGAACTCTGAAGCTGTCCACAAGAAGAGTCTCAGCCGTCTCTACTTCCTCAGGAGGCTGAGGTCCTTGAACATCTGCAGGACCATGCTGAGGATGTTCTATAAGTCGGTGGTAGACCAGTGTGATCCTGATGGTGCCAACTGACTCAAGAAACTTTTCCTCAAGGCCAGTGACACTGTGGGAGTAAAGCTGGACTGTAATCTTGGAGAGCATCCACCACCAACTGCATAACATGTTGGTTAAACACAAGAGCACATTCATTGTCAGACTCATTCCCCCAAAATGCACCACAAAGTGTCACAGGAAGTCATTCTTACCTGTGACCATCAGCCTAATTTCAATCTAATTTCTTATTTCTATACTTTATCTGTTGATATTTGTATTTTCAAGAGCAACTGTAATGACTAAATCTTCCTGGGATAGATAAACTATTCTGATTGGCTGATTGAAATGTTCTTCTTCTGATCACAGGGTGGTAAGATTCCTATCCGCTGGACGGCTCCAGAAGCAATCGCGTACAGGAAGTTCACCTCAGCGAGCGACGTGTGGAGCTACGGTATCGTCATGTGGGAGGTGATGTCATATGGAGAGAGGCCTTACTGGGAGATGTCAAATCAAGATGTGAGTTTGAAGCAGCATTTTCATGTCAGTACTTGATGGTTTGGTTTGATTTGTCATGGTCTATTTTATGACATGACTGCTGTGAAAACTATCGTGATACCCAAGGCAGTATTACTGGGCTGTGTAGAGGTGGAAGGGCCAATTGACAAAAACAGTAAATAAATAAGTTAAGACCTACATGGGAACACTCCAAAGACCGACCATGTACAGGCTGTACACTACACTCTCCCTCCATTTCTTCATCTTCCTAACTCTCAAACACACACAGACAGCCCACATATGCACGTACAGCCCTCCAATGACCTCTTCATCCCCTGCATCATACTTCTCTCTTCTCCTCTTGGTGATTAAGCTGCCTGTCTCCGACAAGTTTAGAGCCAGGGAGGGGAGGAAAGGAGAGGAGAGCAGGATGAGGGGATAGCAGCGAAGAAGACGTTTGATGTTTAATTGAAAGTGTTATGCTGGATTTTCTCTGATCTCTACCAGAAAGTGCAGGCTCTCACACTCTCTTTCTTTAAGCTCTTTCCTTCTGTTTCCCAATTCTGTTCCTCATTTCTTCCTCCTGTGTTTTTTTCTTTGTCTCTTTAAAAAAAGAAAAACTGTATACTATCTTCCCTCATTTCAGCCTGCTCTTTCTTTTCCCACCTCGGTCCCTCATTTTCTTCCTCTGATCTTTCCTTCCTGCTAGTCAGCTATGTGTGTAGTTCTCCCTCTCAGCAGGTAAGGATGGTTTGATGCTGCAGTTCCCCTTACATTTTGGTGCAGTGGGTGTATGGTGCATTCATTTATACTGAAGTGCTATCATGTTAGTCTTTTTGTTTGAATACGATACAAGTAACTGTCATGAACTCGACACATCAGTGCCCCTCAGTGTCTTGCTCTGGCAGAATCAGGCTGAGAACTGCAGCCTGTTTTTCTCAGCAGGGTCCACCAGGGAAAGCCAGGTTTATTTATTATTCATCTACCCACCATCCCCACCTGAAACAACATACCTGTCAGTGTTTTCTGACAAGTGTGTTATTTCTACTGGGATTTACAATGTTTCGGATAAACTATGTAACTTTTAGTGTACCGTAAAACCTTTAGTAGAGGCCCATCCCAATTACAGGCAGGGTCTTTCTTAGTTGCAGGGCAGGGCTACATGTTTTGACAATGAAAGGCAGGTCTCAATCAAAAGCCTATTTATATTATTTTTGATTTTTATTTTGGCAATGAAACGCTGCATTTTTAACCCTCACAGAGACAGTACAAAACATTGAGATGACTATAGTGGCTGAGGGAACACATTGGATTTTGTCAGATTGTCAAATTTGCTCAGCTAAAGGAGCAGAAAGACACTTCACCAATGATTTATAGGAGAATTGGAGGAAACATAAAGCTGAACTTTAATTTTTGAACAAGCATGTCATTGATCAACCTCAGCCTGCCATGAGTTTGTCACGAAAAGGATAAAGAAATGTGACTGCTTGTGCTGGCTTTGAAGATAGAAGTATTATTATTTATAATTGTTTCCATCTTTAAACGACAATAAAACATACAGGCAGGCTGAGTTTCTAGATTAAACCAAATAAAAGCCCAGGCTACTAATTAAAGTTTTTAACGTACAAAACAATACAAAGCAAGAACTTTAATCATTCTTAAAGGGAAATTTATGTGGCTCAAATCTCATCTCATCTACTATTCTTAGGAGAATATGTTATAATAATATGTGAATATTATAATATGATGGTATTCCCTTAAAAAGGATTTATTTTAGCTTACTTTCTTTTCGATGGTTTGAGTGTCGCGTCAGACAGACAGCAGTTGCATCCCTGCAGAAACATCAGGTTTTTATTCTCCTGGTAAAAAACTGCTGAAGCTTGTTGTCCGCTTATAATAATGGAATATTTTTTAAGATATAGATGAATCAAAAAAGTTGTGTCCTCTCCATACCCTGTTGGAAAACTTTGGGTTTCATGTCAAGGTCTTTTCTTACTGTATGAACTTCCACTTGAAGACACTTTTATTTAAGAAGATGTTGGAGTTGACTTGTGGCCTTCTTGTACTCCAAAAAAGAGGATTGAGACTTATTTATTTTTTTTAATCCCAGATCCAAGTACTGTTAATCTATCCTACTGTCTTTATGTCCATGTCTGAAATTACAAACAGCCTATTTGAAAGCACATCCTTTACTGTGCCCATGTCTCTCTGCAGGTAATAAAAGCAGTAGAAGAGAGCTACAGGTTACCAGGTCCTATGGACTGTCCCGAGGCTCTGTACCACTTAATGATGGACTGTTGGCAGCGAGAACGCAACAGCCGCCCCAAGTTTGACGAGATAGTCTGTTTGCTAGACAAACTCATTCGCAACCCTAGCTCGCTGAAAAAGCTAGTCAACTCTTCACACAGGTATGGATCACAAATCACAACATATTTTCACAACCTCAGCTGTAGTCTTTGAGTGTGGACGCTGGGCAAAGCGTAAAAAAAACAGAATTTCATGGGTTTTGCATTTTATGTACACATCACAACAAACCACCACATGTAGTTTTGGGAATATAATTTACAGCAAACACACTGATTAAACATTTTCAGATTGAATGTAAATAAAGCCAATTTAGAGGTCTTGTTTTGCTGCAAATAAAGTCAGGATGGATGTACTTCATGAGTGCTGCATGCCAAAAAAGAGGCATGATTATCATCCAGTGGCTCATTAGTGTAAATTGTATTCAGCGGGATATCCTCAGAAAATCTCACATTTGAACACTCAGTTAGTATCCACACTATACACGCACTGAATCAGTTTTAATGACGTGAAACAGCTATTAATGCTGTGAAGCAGATATTCAATCCAACATCCCCACAACTTCACCGCCGATGTGTGAAATTTAAAGACACATTAGAAACACCTATTAATTCAGTGTCGCATCCAATAACCCATGCAATAACATGATGTTAGATTATAGTGGATTGTTGTTCTATATGATACTCCTTTAGCCACAGTGTTAGCTCGCATGAGTGTCTTTGTTTGATAGTGTGGAAATCCCGTTCTTGCATGGAAAATTGGGCTGAATGTCAAAGAATGAAAACATGTTTTGTTTGATTGTGCACTATAAAGCTTCACTGGAAACGTTCAGAGGTTTTAAGGCCTGAGCTTCAAAATATAATTGAGTGCACAATGAATATTACATCTTATGTTTATGTAAAGTGAAATGAGAAAGGGCTTGAAAAAAAAAACCTTTATTCATCCGATAATATGTCATCTAGATGGTGCTCTGTATTCATATGAGCATGTTATGTGCTTCAACATGATAACTGTCTGACTCGTTCTTTTGCTGTATTTTTTTATTGTATAAGGGTTTCAAACCTGTTAGTGGAGCATGCAAGTGTAGAAGGGGAGTGCAGCACTCGGAACCAGACCGTTGGAGAGTGGCTTGACTCGATCAAGATGGGCCGATACACCGAGCTCTTCATGGAGGGAGGTTACTCTTCGCTGGAAACAGTCACTCAGATGACTTCAGAGTAAGACGAGTCACTTAAAGTCATAAACGCATAGGCTACTGAGACATCTTGCCATGCAAAAAAAACAAAAAACAAACATTTAGTTATAGTGTTTAAGTTAAGTTATATGAGATCAGTAACAGAGGGGTAAGACTAGACAAGTCTTTGACTTCTTCTTACCCCTTTTTTGGACATGTGGATACTCTGGTTTTGTTTTTGTTCTAATTTTGTTGTGATAAGTGAGATTTATGTGCTTCTAAGTGAGGCACTTAGTTTGTTTAATTATTAACTGTTGTTTTGTGTGGTTTTTTATATACATTTTTTTTAACCATGTCCAGAAATAAATAAAGAAAGAAAGAAAGTTTGGGTTTGGGTTTAAAAGCAAATACAAAAAAATCAATGCTTGAAATTGAAACCCTTAATGTTTCTAAAAATCTTTAAAGAAAAACCCCAGACCTTGCATTTATGTCTTTTGTAGGGACATTTTATTCATATAGCATAAAAGCAAAGTACATTAAAATAAGCACACTATTATCTTTAGCTCTTTTTAAAGTTTGAGAACAGTAATTTTGCATCATACCTTTTTATTTGTCAACAGGCTGCTCTGTAAATACGATTGTTTGTGTGCCGTTTTGCAGGGATTTGAGAAGAGTGGGAGTGAACCTCGCTGGACATCAGAAAAAAATCATCACAAGTATTCAGGAGATGAGAGTTCATATGAACAACATGAGCTCCACCATTAACATCTGATGCACAAGTAAAGCAACCCAAAAACAGACACACACAAACACACACACATGATTTATGGACCTAGTAAGAGAAAAGTTTTGCTGTTGGACCTAGAGCGGCTTAGCACTTTCTATGGGAACCCTGTCTTTATGGATCTAAACTGGAGGAACCACATTTTTGTGGAGTTTTTTAGAGGAGTTCGTTCGTGGAGATTTGTGACACGGCGGCATGAAATAAAACTGGATTTAACTGAGTGGTGCTACATAAAGGGAAGATGATAGTTAGCTCAACTTGACTGAGACCAAGTGAAGACTTTATTTTGAGTGAATCTTGGGGATTACAACATTTCTTGCACTGCTTGGATTCTCTCAGATCAGATAAGAAACAAACACTACAGATCTGGCTTTGAGAGCAACCAGCACTTTTCGACGATTTCACAAATATGGGAGTTTCATACAGCAGGCTGCAACTGATCGATGTCAGCGTGTCTCAGGGGAACTGAACCCAGGGGCTCGAAACAATAATGACATTATCTCTGGGAATCTCATCTGAAAGTGAAGTACACATCCATAACCTGTCAACGAACTGAACACCATTCAACCAGGGTAGACGCGTGACAATGGACCGAGTCAGTGAGTGCTTTGCCATGCTGACATGCTTTGGATTGAGTGTTCTTGTCTCAGGTAGGTCTTCATGCAGAAAGACTGCAGTTATAACCCAATGACTCAAAATAAAAGCCTAGACTCATACTCTGCAATATCTATATCACTATATTTCAGAGCAATGCTAGACTAGTGTGGCAATTTTACAGTTTCTACAGGCTGAAAATCAAACTACTGAAAATAATGATTTACTGTATATGTCTGGAAGGATTTCGGTCTCAATGTACCCAGAGATCAAAACTCTAAATGAACCAGGGGCTTTAGGGTTAATATAAAACTTTCTTCTTGCAGAATGTATTGGCCTACACTTTCACACCTATATAAACATAACTTTGTCTAAGATTCAGGGTAATTTCATGTAGGTTTAGCTACCAGTCAACTCTTTGAAATTAGTAACTCGGCATCTCTCAGAGTCATTGGATCCTCCACACAGATTCTCAAGGAGCCTTGCATCAGAAGTTCTGTTCAAAGGAACTGCAACCGGGCGCTCAATCCAGTGGAAAGTAAAGGAAAGCAAAAATAGCCTCAATGGTGTATCCGTACCTGTCGTGATGGGACTGCCTCTTGGATCCAGACGGCATTGTTTGTTATGATGGAACCTTTTGCTCAAACCCTAATGGAGTCTATCCAGACAGCCTTCACTCCAGAGTGCACTCAGATTTTCATGGAGCCTTCAACAACAACAACCAACAACCTTCAGGTACCGCAGAAAATCCTCAGCAATCCGTTCATTCACCACACCACAGTCTTTCTGCACCATACGTCCGCCACACCACAATGAACCTCACTCTTTAAGGACTGCTACAGATAAGGAGGCAATATTGATCAACTTGATAATTATTTATTTATTGAACTTTGTCGATGAAAAAAAAGCAAAGGTGATGCGGACAGTTTGCGTCCCATCATAATACTCTCTCTTTCTGACTACTAAAAAGCTTTGTCTACATGTCTTTCATGTATATATTGTATTATACAACTGAAGCAGGGAGCATTGTTTTTTCTTTCCACCATTATGCAGACAGATTGGCATACATCAAACATCTTAAGTAGTACACATAAGATATTCTCGATCAGCTTTCCTACTACCAAGACCGAGGCCACTGTCAGGTGGAGGCAACCAGCACATCTGTCCCTGAAGCAGATGTTAAAGAAATACAAGCATATTGAATATTAATCTTATTTTGTCAGTTACTGTGTTTGTTTTCTTAATTTACAGTTATATTCAGCTCCCTAAAGGGACAGCAATAAATACGTTGCTGTATTAAAATAGTAAGAGGTTTGTACAGAGATTGTTTTATAAAGTGGTTTCAAGTATACAATGATGTCAATGTTAAAGCCCTTTCTTTACTTTTTCTTGGTATGGTATGTTTAAAGTCGCTACTCAGTACTTCATTGCTGAACTTGACCCTTTTTTTAACCAGTGTGTTCACAAAAGGAGGAGTTCTGGTTGTATATTTACGATCCTTACAGATGACAAATTTCTTTTTTAACATATAAACACAATGAACTGCTAGTGCTGTAACAATGGAAATGAAAAACGATTGTAAAGCTAGCTTTGTATGGGTGGTACCACTTGATTATGAAAAGGATAGTAGAGCAGACAAGAAGAATGTAAGTTTCTAAGGAGGTGTTAGAAAAAAAAATTGTCATTTTAAACACACAGGTCTTCCTGTCTATTCAAAATGAGTTGAAGAAGAAGCATAATTGGTGGTGAAAAGCAACCTGATATGATCACTATCATACTTCTTGAGTGGTTTAATGATTTAATGTGAGAGGGGAATGTTCACTATTTCATGTTCATTATTATTCCATTTTGTGATGGAAGTCAAAATGTTCGACTGAAGTGAGCGCTTGCGTGAACGATAACCATCTGCATATTCTCTGAAGTCTAAATTTGTGGCTTACTCCTGATCTAATATTTGTTAATATCTTTTGGTTTCAACTGTGAAGAACACTAACAGTTGGCGCTGTTACTTTAATAAGCCACAGTTGTTGTTTTTTTTAGGTTCAGGCAGGTCTTGCATTCAAAAATGCCACCAGCTCTATGGTAGTGAAACAGATGTACTCAAGGTTCATTATAGCGGCCGTGCAGACCTTAAATTTTGGACAAGGTGTGTACAGAGAACAAAAAAGCGCTGGGAAATCATCAGCAGAGATTCAGTCAAAGTCCTCTTGGTCTTACGTTACACCATTGGTATTAGATGATATTTAAATGTTGTGATCCCACCAAAAGTTTTTGGATTTGGACTTTTAACAACCACTCGTTTCAACTTGATTTACTACTGAAAATGTTTGCCCAGGGCATGAATAATCGATAAATATTGCACCATCTGAAGTGCCTCTCTTCTTTAAACCACCATGATTTTCTCCCCTACCACCAAATGCTCTGCCCCAACTCTGCCACGACTTTCTATGTATTTGCCAACAGTATCTAGAGGCAATAAGAAGAATGTCAGATAATATGTATGTTGGAACTACTTTAATTTGCACTTTATGATCTTTTTTATTTTATTCTTTTCTAACTTCGATTGTCTGATTCTATGAGAGTTAATGAATTTCTTGCTATGTTCCCTCATGCTGACTATATCACTTATGTTCGTAACGCTCCCTATAGGATAAAACAGAAAGCACAAAGGGTTGGTAATATTTTTTTGAAACAAAGCAAAGCTATATGTAGAAAAGTAGAGCATCATCAGGGCACCCGTTTCTTGCTAATGGCACAGCAATACACCTTCAGAATGTAAGCACAGGATCGAGAGAGAACATATAAGACAGAGAAAGAGTATGAGTTCATTTTTACAAGGCCTTTGGTTTCGCTAACTTCAGCCCCACTGTTTATCTGGGTATCTGATGTTGTTGGGAGCTGCTGGTCTTAAGAGCACAGCAAATAATAATCCCATCCAGCACTTTTGTAAAGACCATTTCGCCCAGGCTGAGTAATTATCATTTAGCAGAACAAAGTAGCAAAGGAAGCACACCAGCAGAGTCTACATTTATTTATGTGTTGTGACTCAAGAGTGGGTGTCAGCTAGAACTGAGTCAAGCATGTATTGAAATGAAGAGTTGTGTAGAATTTTTATGACATAACACATTAATACGATATTTGAAGCAAAAACTCTGTTTTTAAAATTGACATTTTATCACATCAATGTATGACTTTTTTTCTTTTGTAATAAGTTTTTGCATTCACACTCATTGGAGTTGGCCATTCTGTAAAATGTGCTCAAACTGTTGGATCTGATATTACTAAATTTTAGCATATGTATAAAAGCAATACCTGATGTTCAGAGCAAAAAAACAAATGCATAAACATATTTGAGGTTGCACTAACATCTTTTGAAGACAAAATCTTTAGAAACATTTTGTCTGTGTCTTTGAAAACTAATAAATGGAGCAGAGGGGTGAGCAGGGTCATATTTAACCCTTCTCTAAGGTAGACAAAATTCAGATATCTTACACTGATAAGACTAGTGTTTTCAACATAATGCATAACCATCCATAAAACTTATACTAGTTTTGGAAAAAGAGACTTTCTCAAAAGCTTTAAGAGCTCAAATATGAACGTTTGTTCAAAGAAAGTCCAAGATTCACGGCTGTACATATGTAACTTCTCAGGAAGTGATTAAAAGGTACATTTATTTGGTCATCACATATTTGGTCTTGGTCAGCAGTATTTAGGTTTTATGACCGTGTTATTGGCAAGTAACACAGAAGGTTTCAATCAATTCGATTACTGATCTATGATTCTTCAAAAGCACACTAAAAAAATACGAAGCAATTGTTGTGTTATTGGTTTGTCTTTGAGACTGTCGCATATTATGTTTGTGTCTATGTTTTTGTAGTGTAACAAATTCTTTATTTTTGTAATAAACATTTGAAAAAATCAACTTCTGAACATTATATCATGTCTGTTATCTTACCAGAAGGTCAAGTGTTATGTGCTCAATGCAGTAATGAAGGAAATGTAATAATATCTAATCTACGGAAACTTATTGCATTCACCAAAAAAAAAAAAAATGTTTTTCAGTAATTTGTTTCTGTTCTTCAGACTAATTGTTTCTTGTTTTTTGGCGTTTTTTTTTTTATTTTTTTATTTTTTTATTTTTTTCTGTTTTTCTGACAAATTTTTCTTTTTTTTTTTTTTTTTCCAGACTAATTGTTTTTCCTATTCTCTGGGATCATGATCATTTAAAACAGACACTTTTATCCAACTCTGCTCATTTTATTGAGAGCAAACTTAGGGGAAAAAAAGTGTCTGAAAAAAAATTGTCCCAAGAACAGAAAGAAGAAAAAAAAAATATGAAAAGCTGAATAAAAATTTGTCCAAAAATCAGAAATAGGAAAAAAAATTATATTTGTACAAAAAGAAAAAAAATAGTCAGTTTGCCAAGGAATTTAATCCAGATATTCTCATATTCTTCTAATGATGCAGTTTTCAGCTGTAAAATCACTCCCAGAGGTTTAAACAGTTATGGACAAATGTCTCACTCAACAGAGTGACACTAATCGGTCAGATTAATCATCCAGACAGATTAATTGGGCTGAAATAACTGGCACTGGCTGATACATTTGTAAGGCTAGGTAAAAATAATAAACTAATAACATCTGCAGACACTGCAGGCAGCCTCATCAGTGTAGCTGCCGTTGAGCAGCACAAACGTTCTGTTAAATGATATCACGTTTTTTCCTAAATGACAGCACATTGCGCAGAATCAGAATCAGCTTTATTGGCCAAGTGTGATTGCACTTACAGGGAAACAGACTCCAGTAAACTTTGCTCTCTTTGTACAAAAATTCCAAACATTGCAAATATTATCAATCAACACATAGACACTTCTTGTATTTATTAACTTTGATTTATTATGAAAATACAGGGTGCAATTCAAGTACTTCCAAGTTGTCCCACATTAGATAACACAGCCCTGTCTTCATGTTGAGTTTTTTCATGCTCTGGTCAAAGTTATTGTCAAGGGTGCATCATGGCTGACAAAAGGATCCGGTACAGAACAGTTCATCTCTGGGTTACGGTGATAATGAGCTGTGAGGATCTGTAAAATTCATGAGCTTTTAAATCTGATGATGCAAGGCCTTGCAATAGCATGTCTGTCAGATGAAGCTGCTTAAGTTTGCAGTTTGCTACTAATCTGCGATCGCTCTCCAACAATAGACTGTGTGTAAGCCCGGCAAAATCTGATTTCAGTGACTCCATCACATCAGGTCATGGTATTTTGTTTCCTCTCAATCTGTGTGACAGTATTAACTTAAAGAAATGTATGTTTTTTTCTTGAATTTTGCAATACGTAAAAATGTCTCATCTGCATATCTAGCTTTGTGCAAGTGTGTGTGAATTTGTGTGTATGTGAGTGTGTATTATATCAAATCAAGTCTTTGTGATCTCTAGGGGAATCCACGGCCCGTATGGCTAAAGGTAATAATAACTCTCTCACATACATTTGGTGGCTGAAGGTGAAATTGGTGTGGCTATTACAAAAATCCCCACATCATCAGCTTGAAGGAAAGAGCTGCAGGGTGTGTGTGTGTGTGTGTGTGTGTGTGTGTGTGTGTGTGTGTGTGTGTGTGTGTGTGTGTGTGTGTGTGTTGGAGCTGAACTGGGGCGACACTCCCACTGGTGCTGACTGGTATTGTTCCTGGATGGATGGGTTTCTCGCTTCAGGCTAGCCGGGCTGTCTCCATATGTGTCCATGTCCTCACATACCTGCCTGCTTCTGTTCTGTCAGCTCCATCTGCCTGACTTCTACATGACTCCCTATCTGCATGATATTTTATTTCTGTTTCTTTTCAGTCTTCTAGCTGGTTTTCTGTCTCTCATTACATCTCTGTCTTAGTGTGTCTTTTAGTAACTATCTGCTTGTCTGACAGACCATCACCGTATCAGTCTGAAGTCAGGTGTCCCAGGGCACATTTGAGTAATTTTCTGCTGAAGAGCTGTCAGTGGTCGAGACATCCCCAGGGTCATTTGAAAATCATTGCAGAGATGCCTTTTTAATCATTATGAATGACCTTCATCAAAACCTTAGCTGTCGGTCTAAGTGTAGATGTGTGGCTGGCTGTAAATCTATTTGTACCTCTGCAAGGAGTTCAGAATGTAACCATGTGTAAGGTACATTTGTTGTTTAAGTTTTAATGGTTAAACTGTGCATGCATCTGTGAACACCTGCATCTATTTCCAGTGTATGCAACCCCATTTACAATATGTTGCAAATGAAAAAAAGATAAATTAGAAAAAAAGGTTATAATATTAGAATTGAAGCTATTTCTGACTGGGTAATGTTTACAGAAATTAGGCAAAGCTAAAAAGATGTTTGGTGGCTAGTGCTGTGGCTGGGACCCTATATGCACTGTTGGCGAAGTTTCTGAGTATTATTTGTGGCTGTAGAGTGGCGTTTTGGTTGAGGTTTGTGTATGGTTCCATAGACCGCTGTGTATTGCTATCGTGCGGTTGTTTCTAAAGTTGGTATAAGTAGAGAAGAAAGCAGTCAGCAACATTCATCTCTCGTTGGGGTGTCTAACTCAGTGTGATGGTGGGTTTGACCCTGAATTAATTTTACGCTGGAATATCCCTTTAAGCAACTTGGATTCTGTGGCTGTCCTCTCTTCCTCCAGACTCTGGGATCTGGATTTCCCCAAAAAATGCAAAATTGGCTTTCATCTGAAAGGAGGACTTTGGACCACCTAGCAACAGTCCAGTCCTTTTTGTCCTTAGCCCAGGTAAGATGCCGCTGATGATGTCTGTGATTTAAGAGTGGCTTGAAACAAGTTATGCCACAGTTGAAGCATGTGTTTTGGATTCGTCTGTGCATGGTAGCTCTTGAAGCGCCGACTACAGCAGTGGCCCACTCCTTGTGAATCTCCTCCAAATTCTTGAATTAGCTTTTTCCACAATCCTTTCGAGGCTTTGGTTATCTCTGTCCCTTGTTCACCTTTTTCTACCATTTTCCCCTCCATTCATCTTTCCATGAATGTGCTTGGATACAGCCAGCTTCTTTAGCAATGACCTTTTGTGTTGTACCCTCCTTGAGCAGCGTGTCAACGATCCTCTGCGTGTGTGTGTGCGTGTGTGTGTTGGTACCAGTATCTGTATCCCTCATTATACACAGACACACATGAGGAAGTATTTGTATTTGTCACACACCCCAATGTTTTTCCAAGGTCCTTTATTGGAAGTAGTCAATCATGAGCAGACAAGTCCTATATTATGTCCCTTTGGGTGTGATGGCTCTGTGTGTGTGCGCATCCGTGCAGGTTTGTCTTCTGTGTAAATGCATTCATGGGTGTGTGGTGAAGGTCAGGTGAGGTTTTAAAAGTGCAGTTGACCTCAGACATCTACATCTACATGACTCAGGTGCATTAGCTTTGGTGCATGGAAAAACCATTGTAATGAAAGCCGTTTCCTCTATTTCATTATATACTTGTCATTTATCATTTTTCTTGATCAACCAGCAATTCCAATGACACACTCTGACACATTTACTGGTCCTTGACCAATTTTTTTGTGCAATTGAGTTTCGAAGCAGCTCAAAACAACCAATAAAAATATTGACAGAATTAATAATCTGAAAGAAATACCCTAATAAACCCCTTTTTAAAGACTTTTAATGCATTTAAAATGGTTAGCTTGGCTAGCTCATTGCAGAAGAGCTCTAAGACACAGAATACAGCCTTGGCATTACCTGTCTGCACAACAACCTTCATAGAACTGCAAGTAAGAGCAGCAAAACTAAGCCTGAAGGTGAGAAGGATTTAAAAGCCTAACAGTGTACACTGCCACATCTGAGGTTGTTAGCCCCCTTGACCTTGTTCTATGATGAAAACGTCTCTCTCTGCCAACTGAGCTGTTGATCTGATAATAATTTTGACATTACTCCCTGAGAGAGCTGGAAGGAAACGATCCAACTCAGCAGCTGTGTGTCATACATTGTCATTAAGCAAGCACTGTGCCTCAGTACACAACAATGTAGCATGTAGAGTGTCCCAAACTCCTCTCACAAATGAATAATGGTTATTTATTGCAGCTTCAAAGCAACATTGATCACTCTTAGCACGTACTGATCAAATTATGAAACTGGGCACATACAATTATACAGTTTTCAGGACTTTTATATGCAATGTACCTTCTGTTATTATCTTTACATTGAGATCATGTGTCCTCTACCTCCTCTAGTTGTAAAAACACAAAGACAAAACTTCTCCCTACAATCAGCTTTGACATCTTGTGTGGGGATCTGCTGGTGGACCCACATCAACGCAGGCGTTTGACACTGATAGACAGATTATTTGAATGGTAATTTGCTCAGGTTAGCACAGCAGCATGAAATCAGTTTGGAGCAGACCCTCACTTTTATGGAAAGTTGAAAAGGCTTTGTGTTTCTCTTATGACCTCTTATTGTTCATCTTTGATAATTAGGCTCACACTGTGCAGTAGGAACTGGATTTGTAAACAAGGCTGTCAATCACGCTTTTAGATAGCTAACTATAGCTACACATTACTCAAAAATTTGTCTCAAGTGACAGGTCTCATGTTTAATAACATATGTCTGTCTTTATATGTAATCATAACGAACACACAAATACAAGCACGTATATATGTGTCCATAAGCATCTCTGTGTTGAACCCTTTTAGCTCAATATCAGACCGTCTGAAAGTGAATGTCGTAATACATTCAAGACCATTAATGCCTGGGAATGAAACAGAATCCAAAAGAGGACACACACTTGCACAGAAATACACATGCCTGTGCGCACACAGAGTGCTGTATGTCTCTGATAGCTTCTATTATCTAGGTCTCCCTCCTGGCTGCACATCAAACATGGATGAGCTCCAACCATAAAAGGCTCCATTTTCCTTTGATTTATACAAGGAATAAAA